TGTCCTACCACAGACATCTCTTTTCAGGTTGAGATATTAATTTCTGTTCCAATTAATCAAGTATAAAGTAAGGATGATGCTTTCTTTGCCTGTCTTCAATATCTTAACTGCAAGCTTTTCGTGTTTATAGCAGGCTTAGGTCTTCATCCAGACCTGAAAACAATGCCTTCAACATCAAAACAAACAGAATAGGAAACCTCAGTGTATCCTCCTAAACAAAAATATTTACTCAAGCAAGTACATTTCCAAACAAGTTATTCCAGAGGTAAAATATCTCTGGGAAGCTGCTGGGAAGAGGTTGCTCAGAGTGACAAGGCTGTGCATGTTTGGACAGGGAACTTCCCTGGGATCACCGTGCTTGTCTCGTGGTGGTCCTTTGAGGAATAATCAGAAATTGTTTTAAATCATTCTAAACACGGACAAGCGATGAATAATATTCCTATTAATATTTTTAATTAAAAAAAAATCTGAAGTTCTGGAACACGTTCACAAGGAGCACACAAAGAGTCTTCAAAGACTGTGACTTGAAAATAGATCAGAAATGTGTCAGTTTTAAGATTGTTTTCTATGAACGAGACAGCATTCTGTAAATCAGAATTCCATAATCAAATTGCTACTGTTTTGCCATAACCAGTGCCCTTGGGTTCAGTGTAGCTGGGCAGCTGGAACTAAAGGTGAAGCTGATTCATGGTATTTTCTTGCTGCAAATAAATCTTTACTAAATTGAGATCAATGACAAAACAACTCCTGCCATCAGTGGAGGCAGGACTGTGCCCTTTCGAGCTGCCCTCGTGCACAAGTTCAGATCTGTTGCAGTTCGGTGGGTGCTGGTTTTCTTCATTTTTTTTCTGTTTTACCACTGCAGTTTTCTGGGAATGGGAGTAGAAGCCACTGGCGTGTTTTAGCATGAATCACTGCGTGAGAAATACTTTCCATTGTGGAAATGCAGCTGAACAATCCTTACCTTGAATAGGTAGAAAAGACACTCAGTGTCTTCTGGCCTCCAGCTTTTGTCTGCAGGGAGGGATCTCACTGCTGGCTTAGAACAAAAAATTGCAGGAATTGAAAAGGCAGCACCATCCCCAATGGTTTAGTTTAGTTATAGAAAAGTAAATGCAGATGAAAGGGTTCAACCATTCTTTTGAATGTGAGAATTGACTCGTAAGACGAAGCCAGTGATAAATCTGTTACATTTTCTGTGAGCATTCAGATAAGAGCTTCAAGGAGTGGTATGAAAATTTCAGATAAGAGATAGTTTGGGGCATAATTTCTCCTTTGAGAGAGTTTCTTTTTTACATTCCACACGAAGTTGGAAAGTTTGCACTCTGAGACTTGTATTAGATGAAACCCTGAGCGACAGTCAGTCAGGCTGAAAAAAATTCAGACATGTTTGTGCAAAGATTTCTTGTGCAGCTTCTGCTAAAGACAGTGGGAGCTCGACAAATGAGAGATGGGGAGGGTGGACCCCTTTTTTCATTTTTTCTTTTTTCTTTTTTTTTTCCCCCTCCTATCTGGAGGATGAGAAAGCTTCTGGTTTCACTTATAATTTTAAACAAAATCAGATTGACCACCATCATGCTGTTGCTAACAGAAGCCTTGTTTCTTGTCTGACTAAACTCCCAACAGCAAACACCATCTGCCTGTTGAAGGAGAAGAGGAGTCACCACCCAGACAATGTCTCACTCGTTGGGGTTGGAAAACATCAAGTCTGCTACAAAAACTACATAGCAATACCCTTAGAAACCCTCGAAATCCATGTTCTGTGCACTTGTTTTTTGAAGTTCTTCCTCTGAGATTGAATAAATTTTCCTCTGTTAAACAGAAGAATTTTCGAACAAAGACCTTTTGTCCAGATCCAAATTCAGGTCAGGTGCCACCATGTGAACTTTTACTGAATTCCTTGGAACAGTAGATGGTCGTGGCAAATTATCTTACAGCTAAGAACATGTAAATTCAGCCTGTGATAGAGCAACATAAATAATAGTGGTACATCAGTTTACCCTTGCAGGAATAATGAGTATCATTTGCTGCTGTAAAATGGTCCTTAAGTGCTGTTTCTCCACAATATCAGTAGGAACTTTGAAAAAGCTGTGACTTTTTATTCAGGCATTTGAATTCCAGCAAGTTCTAAAAGACACATCTTTGCTTTGGATTTTATTCATGTAAATAGAAACAGTTGCTTTAAAACATGTTATTTTATCTGAAATAATAGTTTTGTACTCTCTGGTTTGGTGAAGTACTATTATTTTGGAAGTTAACATTTTCCATCCTGCTCCAGAACGATTTTGAAATATTATGAAGCAGATAAAAACAAACGAATAGCACACAAAAGAGCTAAGTTAGCTACTTTAAAGTATGTTTTGTAGAATTCCAGCTGGGAAAGGTCATAGAATGGTTTGGTTGGAAAGGACCTTAATGCTCACCTCATTCCAACCCCCTGCCAGGGACAGGGATGCCACTCACTGGATCAGGTTGCTCAGGGCCCCATCCAACCTGGCTTTGGAGGGGGATATTTCTCCTTGCCTGGTGTCAGATCCATAGGTCTGGAAAGCCATGGCCTGTGGAGAGGCAGGAGCAGAGGGATTCCTGCAGGAGAGCTGTCCAGCACTGCTCCTGGTGCCTTCTGTTCCCTTCAGCATCTTCCAAGTGAGAGGCACCTGCTGAGCTGCCTTGGGTCCCTTCTGGGAGATCTGGGGTGTCATTGGAATGGGGGGGATTTTGAGCCTCATGGGAGAAGGAGAACCTTCCTTTAAGCACTGACTGGGCAGCACCTGTAAAGCAGCTGCTCCTTGACAGCCCTGCTCCTGGTGTACAGAGTGCAGAGTTTGCTCAGATTGATTTGCAGGCTTTGGGGTTTGATATTTTGCAAGCGTTTTATGGTAGTGTAGGTCCTTGAAAGAACAACCACCTCTGTGGGTATCTCTGATTCATGATGCTGGAGCAAATGAAGGCTTTAGTACAAGCCCACTGTTAGCTGTCAGTGTGAATGTACCTTCATCTGGATGTTTCTGAGACAGAATTTCCAGCAGAAACTGAGGTGTTTGTGTTTGACCATTCAAGCTGGGAGCAGAATTACAAAGGACTACATGGAAATAGGAAATTGATATGTGCAATTATGAAACACTTTCCAGAAGTGTCCATGGCAACTAAAAGTCATGACTTTATGGGGTAACAAAAATCCCAAGAGAGATCTCAATCGAAATATTGACTTTATGGCAAACTGTAATTTATCTGCCCTCTGCTCACCCGACCTTTTCATATGGCACAGGATATAAATTACTGACCTCTTCCTTTCCATTAGAAGATAAGAACCTTATCACCTTTCCTCTCTTCTGCCATCCTTGTCACTCCCCAGGCACTCATCTTTGTTCTCAGGGGGTCTAATTGATACATATCTAATTAAAGGCAAAGCAGTTTTTCTCAACTTGCATTCGGCTTTGAAGTGTGGTGCTTTGATTTCAGACCTGAAGAACAGCTTCATGTGCCTGAAAGTTACTCTTTTTCCAACTGTACTTGTTGATCAGATCAAATACACAACCTCTGTGTACAAACTCTGCCTTGCCTGTGCACCAGTGCATTCATTTATTGTTAGTGAAAAAGAGAAGACAATTTGTCATGGATCTTGTTAAAGGGTACGTGTGAGGTCTGCAGCTCTTCAGAGCTTTGGAGGTTAGGGCAAAATGTTCAAATATGATGAGATGGGGGGGGGAAAGATTCAGTAGAGACAAAGGTAGATAACTGGATTAGCAAGTAAAAAATGTTAGGATTTAATGATCCTGCAAGATGCAAGTTCTAAATTTCTTACCTTCTTGTGGCCTGCCTGCTGCAGAGGAATAAACTGGAGTTATTCCTCCATCATCCTATTCCTTGTCATTGTGTTTATTAAGACTGTCCTGTTACCAGTTGCTAATAAAGTCTGTGATGGTTTGGGTTTTTTTTTTCCCAGGCTAATTGCTCTTTTGATTTGGGCTTTTTCAAGTATGTGATAGGATTGCTGTTTATAAGATGCAATAACCACAAGAATCTCATGGAGTTTTCCGAGGTCAGACTGTCACTGTGCTTTTGTTTGCTTATGCTGAGCTGGTCCTTGGCAGCCTGTGTGGCAGCTCAGCCAGTCCCTAAATTAACAGGTTGTTCTTTGTATTGGAAGGGATTGATGTGATTGAAGTTATTGGCATGTATATGCCCAAACAAATTGTTCTGGGGGAGAGAGAGGGATCCAAGTGGAGCAAACTGGACAGGTCCAAAGACAGTTTGTTATAAGAACCCTGGTACGTTCAAGAATGTGTAAAGGACTAGAGAATAAAATTTCAGACCAGAAAATGAATGGGAAAGTACAGTTTTATTCCAAAATCTTTGTTAACGAAGGTTCAAGGATGTACTTTTTGTTATATTTCTCTGAAGACAAAAGCCCTGGTGTACATGCAAGACATAGTGAGAAAAAAATCAATTGCTGGTGCAACAATTTATTTTTCTGTAATAGCAAAGTTGGGCCAATCCTCCTGTGGTTTGGCTTCCTGAGTAACTCAAGAGCCTATAGAAAAAGAATCATTGAAGTGCTTAAATTAATTTTAATAATATTGCCAAATCACTCATCTCAAACTTCTTTTTTCAAAGGGCTTAGAGTCTCGTGGTTTGTTTTTTTTTTCTGTTTCTGTGCACCAGCAATAGTTACCCAGAATCTTTTTGCAGGGCAGGACAGGAGAATCCTGTCCCACAGAACTTTTAGAGTTCAGCTGCTGGTTAAAATCCCTTGTCAGCACATAGAAGCACTAGATTAATTGTTTATTTATTCTTCCTTTATATACTTACAGCATAATTCTTTACATGTGCATGCACACAGATTTTGTTTTTTTTTTTCTCAAGTGGTGCCCTGGACTTAATAAGACAACGGGAGGACCCCAAAAATAGCGTGTTTTGCCTTTAAACTACCTTTTATTTGCACATAAAATTACATCATTACATCAAACTAATCTTTTTGTCTTGGTTTTGCTCTGCAGTACAGGATTGGCCAGCTGTACATGATCAGCAAGCACAGCCATGAGCAGAGTGACCGAGGGGAGGGGGTGGAAGTGGTGCAGAACGAGCCCTTTGAAGACCCCAACCATGGCAATGGGCAGCTGACAGAGAAACGTGTCTATCTCAACAGGCAAGTGCAATAAAACTGTTTTCTCCCAGCGTGGGCTGCAATAAAAATTTGCAAGGAATGCCCCTTGCAGGCAAAGAGAGAGCCTTTCGTTTCAGTGGAACGTGTTCCCAGGAATACCTGCTGCTTCCTGAGAGCCAGAGGAAGATGGGATAGTTCAGTGGCTTGAAATAGAGGGGTTATTGCTACTCCTTCTAGAGAATCTCTTCCAAGAGAAGGAATTATAACTTGAAGTTAAGGATGTCCTGAAACTCAGAACGTTTGTTTTCTTTTACACTGAACTGTTTGTCATTTCGTTTTCTAAAATTGTTGGGGAGGGGGAGCCAAAACTAAAAACCAAAACCCACAAACGCCCCACCCCTCCAAGAAAACCAAAACCAAACCATTAAAATATTTTTTTTAAGTTTTTCTCACCTCATAATCGTGTCCCAAAGCCAACATTTTTGGTGCTGGAGTTTGCCTCGGCGAAGTTAATTTGCATTATAAATGATCGTTGGGCTCCTACAATGACAACCTTCTGGACCATCAGGCTTAAAGACCTGGTGGACAATTTGCTTTTGTTCCCCCCGAAGTTCCATCATTTCTTAGACCTGTGGTGAAATGATGCTGCTGAGGCATCGATTCCTCCACACTCCCAGGCCAGAGATGTTTATATATAGATTTGTGTCCTGTGAAATATATTGCTCAATCTGTTCCCGTTTGCACTACTGCTGATCTAATTGAATATCCCTGCTTTTTTGAAGTTCTTCTTTTCCCCTGGGCCTGTTTCATTTTATTAAACTTTTGCTCTGCAGCATTTTTGGAGTGGGCATAGAAACACTCCAGCTATTGTTTTTACATTGCAGGTGACTCCTGCACTGCAAACCTCTGACATCTCTGACCTTAACTCAGGCCAAATTCAATCACCAGTGATGTTGCACACACACACACATAACATAGGAGTCCAATAATATATATCTTGCCAACATTTAATATTATTGTAATTGTAACTGTTCTCTCACAGGCTAGATACAGGACTTGGAAAAAAATCAATAAATGTGTTCCCACTGTAGAGCTCCCAGAATTTGTGTGGTTTTTTAAATGTTTCTGGATATTTCTTTCCAGCATGTTAAACAGCAATAAGGCTTTAAGCACTGAAGAGCATTTCAGAATTGCCACTTGAGGGTGATTCAGAACGACCACGAGGACCTAGAAAACATGTACAAACCATACTTGGGAAGTGGTTCCTGGTAGTGCAGGCAGTGGGACAAAGGATCTTTCAGCCAAAGATGGGTACAAAGACTGACAAAGAAGATCTGAGTGCCCACTCAAATCTTTTCAGAACATCCACAACCTCCAGCTGTGGTGGGTGTTTGAAATCAGGCTGACCAAGTTTGATAATAACTGTGAATCCTCCATCTCTAGATTTGCCATTTTAATCTGGGTTTGGTGTCACAGTGCCACCAGATATTGCAGTGCTATTTGTGGGAGGGATCAGCAGGTTTTCAGGCCACTGTGGATTGTGCCTGGAGGCCAAAATATCCCTGGAAAGCTTCACTCCAGGAGATGTGCTTCAGTACAAGATGTGCTGCAAACTGCTCTGCCTGCCTTCCTTGAGGAACAGGACTCCCCACACCAGCTTTTCTCTGCCTCAGCTTTTCTCCTTCCAGGGCCCACTGCCCTAATAAACTTTGCTTCACTCTGTTTTCTTCTGGACTGATCTCTCTTGAAGAAATTTGAGCTTCTGTATTTCAGGGATGGTTTCTTGCAAATACTTGTGCATTTTTTGTGTTGTCTTCTCTTACCTGCCAATCCTTTAATTCTTGCAGAGGGTCTTCTTGCTCACCAGTGGTTTCAGCTGCACTGCCTTTAAGAAACACATTCTCCCTGTGTGCTGAGAGACTCAACTTCACCTGGGGAATAATAATAAGAATAAAAATAAGAAAAATAAAAGAGATAATGTGATCCACAGATACCTGTGCTGCTGAAATAGAAATATTATCCTTTCATTCTCTGAGTGGACCCTTGGAACAATTCATGTGTGCCTGTGACTGGGACTTACTGGCAATTCTGAGTATAATATGTGTTTTGCTCATAAAATTATTTTTTACAAGATGTGCTGTACCAGTGAGGATAGGTAGACAGGCAAATATGCTAAAAACAATAACCAAAAAACCTGCAAAATGAGCAGATGTATGTTTTCGAGTGTCAGTGTAACCTTAGTTATATTTAGAATTGTTTACTGCCTCTTCTCTCCTGCTGGAACAATGTTTTCAGAAGCTGAAAGTCTCTGCATCCTCTGGTATTTATAATTTAGGCATCAGAGTAAAGTTTAGCAGGGGTAAGGGAGGCAGTCATAAAAACACTGACAGAGGCTGACAAAATAAACAGATCTGATACAGGGAAGTCTATTATGCAGGATGTAAAATGCTGCTTAAAAGTCTGTACACAAGAAAGGTTTATGTAAAGAAAAGAATCGAGTTTTGAGCAATGTCATCAAAGAGCAAAAGTCAATGCACTTGGCTTTGGATCTGTAGATAATGTACTAACTCTGCATTTTGCCTCTGGACAGATAAAATATTTATGTGTAGCTAGACCGTAGTTAAATAAACCCTAATGATCCGAACTGTATTTTCTTCAGAAATTTGCTAACGTGGAAAGTTAATTTACTTTCTGCACACAGTTATCCAAACAGAACTGTTTCAAACATTTCCACTTGGAAAATGGAGGTTTGAAAGCCTCCAGTTCAGTAAAGATTCAGTCTTGGTCCAGGTGACTTTCTCAAGGCTTGGCCAGACCAACAATTGGAACTGAGTCCCTCAAGAACAAGGATATTTGTGGTCTCCAAGGTGCCTTGGAGTGACCAGTCCTGGCAGCCTCAGTGCTTATAGCTGAAGTCATTAAGAAAGGCTTGAAAGAGGAATTACAGTGAACTTGCCTTTTTAAAATGTTTCTTTGCTCATCAGTTTTTGTGACCAGAGTGCCGGAAATAAGAGACCCAAGAGCCGTGGTAAAAGGATGCTCCCCCTCTGCCATAGTATTATTTAATTATCCTTTAATGATGCTGTATCCATTAATTTCTGGTCCTGCTGCTGTTGTACCACCATGCTGGTGAGTTCTGTTGACAGAGTGAGCTCTGAGCTGTGACATCAGTTCCATTAATTCCCTTCCCTTTTGTTATTTACTTTTCCCATCAGCAGAGAGGGGCAAACGCTGCCTGCCAGCCTCACGAGGTGTTTTGAGTGATTTGTTAATTTTAATAGAAAACCCTCCCACCTGGGAGTTGGTGTTGGTAGTGTGGGAACAGCTGCGTGCCAGGTGAGCTGAACATGAGGGTTGGAGCGCTGGCAGAGAATATGGAGGGAGAAAAAACAGCCTCTACGGAGAAGAAATCGTGGATTTGGGATGGAAGTGGACTGAAATCCGTGTTTCCTCACGAGCTCTTGTCGGAGGGTGCCTCCCTGTGGTTAAGGGTGTGGTGCCCTGGTTACACCTGGGGTGGACCAACCTGTTGAGTCCAGCCATGGCCAAAGGGCTGGGGCCAACAATTCCCCAAATCTGCCAGGAATTCCCCAAATCTGCCAGGAATTCCCCAAATCTGCAGCCTGGGTTCAATCTGCTCAGGGATCATTGCACTGGCACCGACCTGCTCCCCCGGGGAGGGCAGCCAGCCTTGCTTTCACCTGTGCTGTGGGGAAAGCTGAGGCATGAAAAATGAAAATACTCCCGTGAAGTCCAGCCATTGCTGTGGCCCCTAAAACACCTGCCAGGAAACGAGCACCTTCTTTTCTGCAAGGCTCAGAAGTCATAAATTCTTCTAATTTTATGTTTTCTTCTTCCTTTCAGCAAGCTGCCTAGCTGGGCTAGAGCAGTCGTTCCCAAAATATTTTATGTTACAGAGAAGGCCTGGAATTATTATCCTTACACAATCACAGGTAAGGATTAAAGCAGAAATGATGAGTGGGTTGTGATTTTGGGATAGTTGAGTTTATCTTCAGAAGCTCCAAGTTACATCCTGAGCAATAGATGCCAAGTTTCTGTAATAACTCCTGTTGAACTGCATATATTTTTCCACCTTATATTTACTAATATCAGAAAATAAAGATTATTTATTATATGTCTATAAGGACAGGTAAAAACTGGAGAGTTGTATCTATGCAGTTTCATCCTTGCAAAGAAAACATCAGGTGCTTGAGTTCTGTGTGACTTGTGTCCTAAATTTATTGTCCCATAGACTTGAGTCAAATAAATCAGCAGACTATCTGACCCGATAATCTTTATTATTAATGTATGTTTACTGTAAGGATCTTGCATCATTGTTTTATTTCACATTTCTTCTTTTTTTTTCTTTTCCTTCATCGTTCTTTTTTTTACAAATGGACAACTGGAAATCAGAATACACAGTAAGTTTTTCTTCCTCTTTTTATTCTAAAAATAGAAAAAATATGTAAAATATAGTAGTAGAATCCAAACTGATTCCTTTCTAATATAACTAATTCATAATGGATTCAGTAGTGTAACTTTATTTCAGCTATTTGTTTAAGAAATTTAAGGGGAAATTTGAAGTGTTTCTATGGAGATCCTATAAATTATTTACCTTATTTTTTTATCACTTCGAAATAATTTGATATATTTGTAGTTACTGACTGTAACAAAGAGAAGCTTCTGTAAAACAGGGCAAGGCTTTTAAGGTTCCTGTTATTACGTGGAGACATGAGAACAGATTTTATTTTATTTATTGTTTTATTAACTTATAAAATGCTCGTCTCTGGTATAGTATCTGGGAAACTGTACAATCTGTAGACAAAATTAAACATAATCTGGGCACAGTGCCCAGAAAAATCAGCTATTCTCTCTAGCAGAGCTAAGGCAAAATATAGCACATAAATCATGAGAAAAATTGTTTTAAATGTGCTGGCCTCAATAATGTACAGTAAGTTTTCAGCAGCCTTTGGAAGATGAGGAGGAGATGGTGAGGAAATTCCAGGTGAAGGGACCTTCTGGAAACTCCTGCTTTGATTTAGTCTGAACTTCTGAGTGGTGGATAAAACATAATCCACTTGTTTTTCTTAACTCTGCAGTGCTCAAAATGTTTGTGCAGATTTTTTAAAAACCTCATAAAGCATAAAGAGAGGAAAGAGATTTCAGGGTGATAAATGTGGAAGAGGGAACATAAAGGGATTTAAAGGCTCAGATCTGAAAGGTGGAGACCAAGAGCTGAAACTGTAATGACCAGATTTGAAAACCCAAAGCACCAAACTGTGCTTTTCAATATGTGCTGTAGATATTTCTTTCTTTTTCTGCTTTATTTCATGTTTAAAGTTCATTTGATTGTCAGAGGAAACACAAATGCCCCAAAAGGGACAGTAGTAATGAGGGACAAATTCTCAGCTTTTTGCCTGAAGATGTTTTCAGTTCACATTAATTAAGGGTTTACCTTTGAGAGCACATTTAGTTTTAGGCTGGGAAGGTGACATTTGCTGTGTTGCACTGATGTCTCTCCATTGGATATTTGAAAGTAAATCTGAATTTTTTTATGTGAATCTTTTTTTTTCTTTAACTGAAAGAGACGAGTGAAAAGGGATGGTAGCAGACAGAAATATATATGTCTGAATTTGAAATGCAACACATTCTCAAAACCAAACAGCAATGCTGTGCTCAAAGAACCTGAACCAGGAGGTGATCTCTGTGTAATCCCATGAAACCACAGCTGGGACACATTTCAGTGCAGGTTGGTGGAAGGTGAACAGCTACAGAGATGTTCAGGAGCATCAGCAGAAATGATTGCAGGGCTGGAGAGACTTGTAAAGTAAAACTAAATTGGTCTCCAAGTGTAGAAGGTAGGCAGAGCAGTCACAAGTGACAGTATAACTGCCTGGGGGAGCTGGGGACTAATTACTCACCATGGTGCAAGGAAACAGAACTAGAAATACTGGGATGAGATGAGGGAAACTACTGCAGACAAAAATCTAAACTATGTTTTAATGCAGCTGATAGACTGTGAATTTATCTTCACGGAAAACAGAGACAGTGCCTTTGCCTCAAACTGTTGAATCTAGAACAAAAATGTTAAATGTACCACTGGGAATAATTCCTATCCCTGTCTGGAATATTTCTCTAAATTATGATCTTCCGTAGTCATTAGAGAATTCTGAAAGAAAGAATAAGCCCACAGGCATTGCCCAAAATATGTAAGATAGCTTGGAAACCCTTTTCTTAGAGACAGCAAATTCCCTCCAAAGGGTCTGTGGGCCGGGGTAAGAGTTAAATTGAGCCTCACTTCAAGGAAAGCTGATTCTAAAGGCAGGCCAATAATTGGATAAATAAAGCATAATCTTATCAAGTACATACTGCTCTGTGGTGTGTTCACACCTTATTAACCTTCAAGTTCCACTCTAAACAGAGGGAAGGACCTTAAAGGTTTAGGATGTTATTTCAGTGTCTGTCAGTGATTTGGAAGAGGATGAACAACAGACTGAATCTTGCTGATGGTCTGAAGGCTTTTTCATTTGTAAAATACGAAGGCTGGTGAGAAACATTCAAGCCCATATTCTCTCAACCTGGTTCTTCTGTGGAATATTATGGAATTCATAAATATGACCTTCTTAGGGGCCTGAAATTAGGACACCTAAGAAAAAAAAGGCTCGCTGGGCATTGAAAATAATTTTCAGAATATTGCTCTCTGCAATGGCTGTATAAAAAGCCAAGAGTGATTGGATGCATGAAAACAGGAATGGAAATTCTACTGTCATGATGTTAGTCCTTAATAATCTGGGGCCAGTTATGGATAAATTTGACAGCAAACAGCTTGTCTGCTCCCAAGTCCTGACAGCCATATTAAAAGTATGGAAAGCAGCTGACACACTTGAGATAATGAGCTGAGCAGAACTATTGCACAAGCAATGCCTTTGTGGTGTGTAAGATGTGAAATCGTGGCGTGTCAGGGGAGCATCTGCAGATGTACCTCGTTAAAGCTGCCACACAAAAGGCTTCCTACCAGGAAGATGACACATGGCTACTGTCCCAAGAAATGCTGTCTCAGAGCTGGAGATAATCCTTGAAAGCTTCCCGCTGACATTGAGAGGGAGAAGGAAGTCGAAAAAAATACTTTGGGAGCTGAAGCCAAAGGAAGTCAGGCAGATTTGGGGGTGCTATTTTGGGAGTAAGATGTCCCTGTAAAGTTCAGTTTAGGTGGCTGTGTGAGAAAGTCTTTCAGGTTATTCAGGAGCTGCTTTGATTTTGATCTTGTCATTAGAAACCTGACAAGATACCTTGCCAAAATACGTGATTAATTTTTATCTAGGAGTTCATTTAATGTTGTGATTAGGTTGATATTAAGATGATAAAGTTGGGATACTGTATCTGGGGCACAGCAGAAAGGGAGCCCTATGGATTCCATTCCATAAGGGATTCCAGGACTTGGGAATCAGCAAGTGCCTCCTGCCCAGCTACACCTGCATTCCCAGGGGGAAAGCTGCTGTCTTGGGAAAGAATTCCTTTGCTAGTCACAGGCTGGGCCCTTTGTCCCTTGGAGGATGGAGGAAAGATGCCTTGCAGCTCTCAACAACCCCTTATGTGCCAGCTTATCACAGCCTTGGCAAATACATCTCTTGAGTGGAAAATATTTATGCTATTCTTGGGGGGCAAGAACGAGGGAACTTGCAGGAGGCTTTGTTATTTTTCTTTCTGGATTAGAAATAATTAACTAGAAAGCAAACCTGTGTCTCTTGCAAACCAAACGAAAAGGAATTGTGTAGAACTGAGTTTCTTTGCCTGCACTGGGATATTGTTGGAAAATAAACAGCACAGAGCAAATATCCATTTGAGCTGCTCAAGTGACAGTGGAGATTCTGGACAAAAAAAAAAAGAGAGGAGCCCTCAAGCAAACAAATAATCAGATCACGAATGTTTGGTGACTAAACCGTGGTACAAAAACTTCATATGATCGAAGTGCAGTGAGAATGAGCCAAACAAAGTTTAGCTCTCAAGTTGGAGCACAAAGAGCTTTGGAAAAGTACAAACAGAATTGAAGCAAACTCTTTTGAGTTTGAAGGAGCAGTTCAAGTGTTTACCAGGGAGCATTTCAAATAGATTTGCTGCCTGACCCGAACAGCTTCAGTGTTGTTAGCAATATTTCACTTCTGGGGCTGTAATTAAAAAAAAAACAGCTGGACAAATTTTTTTTTGTGCATAATTTATGGCCAGTTGTTGGTTTCATAATTATGTAAAGCAAAATAAACACTGAAATGACATGGTTTACTCCCTGTGAGGAGGAGGATTCCTTCAAGATGCCAATGTCTCAAATTAACTTAGGAATGGGATATAAATTCAGAATGTTTATGAAAAACAGTTATGGAACAGAAAGCAGGAGACAACAATTCCTTTGATGATTTATCACAATGACATTAATTCTTCCACAGCAAATGACTGAGGAAAATAAAATTATGTCATCTGGTATGTGTCAAGGCCCCAGAGTGAGAGTTGCTAAATGGTCCATTACTGACCTGCTGGTTTCTGATTACTTTTGAGAATAGGCATGTTTTGTGCTTCACTTTGCTGCTGGTTTATCTGTGAAGTAAATTATCTGGAAGGAAGGGTTTTGTAACTGTTATTTTTATAATGAGATGACTTGAGAAGGAAAATAGTTGTTTCAGATAAACATGGCTGTAGAGTTTTTTCCTGTGTTCGCTTGGTCTGATTACCAGCCCTTGAGATTTGGATGTAACCCATCACTCTTCAGTGCATAAACTTTTCTCCAGTTTGAGTAGATAAAGAGCCTGCATGAAAAGTGTAATAGACTCTTACTGAAGGATTAGACCCTAATGCAAAGTCACTACCAGAATTCCTCCCCTCTCACCTCCAACTCAGAAGACAGGCTGGTGCCACTGCTCTAAAAAAACACGGATTTGTGTCCCTTAGAGGTTCCAGCAACAGGAAGGACCTCTGTAGTATTTATAAAACCCAAATAACATATTTTTAGAAAGCTTCAAACCTGTGTTCTCATCTAATAGCTTAATCCCATTGAAACAAGTAAATCAAAACTGCTTAGAGAATTCCCTTTTTCCAGCACTGGCTGATTGTGAAGCAATCCAAACCCCCCTGATTGATGGGACTGTCATTTCCACTTGTGCACGCAGCTCCTCCCTGCTGTTCCTCCTCAATAAGCAGGTTACTGCTCCCATGCATCAAAGAGAGAGATCCTAAGGGAAGGCAAAGCCAGAGAGGAGAGTTTCACAGTGGTTGGAGGCATCTTGTTAGTCACTGTTTCATCTCCAAGTTATTGTATGTAATACAAACAGTGGGTTTCTTTCTCAGCTTGTTTATGAGTTTTGCTCCCTGGTTTATTTTCAAGCCCTGCTTTTATATTGTTCTCTACCCTTTCCGCTCAACAGCACTTTTGTTTTGCTGTTTGCCACCTTCCTGTGTTTATCTTGCTGTCCAAATTCTCCTCCCTCTCGTGGAGTCACATCTCCCCGCTCCTGCCATCCCCCTGCCCAGCCCTTTCCGTCCGTTCTCTTCCACCCTTGTCATCCTGATGGCTGCTGGTCTGTGCCCTGGGTGACCTGTATCCCTCAGCAGCCCTGGGGGGTCACAGGCAGTGCTGTCTGGAGCAGTCTGAGGCTACTCAGTAACATGATGGCCATTTTCCAAGGAACTTTGGATATTCCACCTTCCACTACCCCCTAACGTCACATCCCCTTTGTCTGTTATAGAGAAGCAGGGACTCCATTTGCCTTTCCCAGTTTTTTGATCTTCCGCAAAGAAATGCTGTTGTCACCCACTGAGTACCAAAATAGTGCCCAAAATTTTTTAATTCAAAGGGTGTGGTATCTGGAAATGACCCTGTTAAAAAAGATTTAATTTGGCTTGGCCAGTCTCACCTCACTGTAGCAGTCACTGGGTTCTTTACCTGGAGGTTCCATGGAGATTGCTCTGTAAAGGATCCAGTTCCACCTGTGTTGCCAGTATAATGTATATGTGACCATATAGAAAAAATCATCAGTCCAAGAAGTGCTGAGAAGTGTCTGAGAAGACATTTATATGAAATGTCTGCCTGGCTAGGCTTTTATGTTAAGATTTAGGGGAATGTGCTTCTGCTGCTTAAATAAAAAGTGGGATTAATTCTTACTGTACAAAAATAACTGCCAAGGATTGTGGATTAATATTCCCAAGGAGCAGGAGAAGTGAAGTGCAAGGGTGAGGTCTCTAGCAGGTCTTTGAACACTCTGCAGACAGAAACATGTGGAAAATGAAATGTGGAAAATGTCAGCTGCAATGGCACTGATGAACTGGCATCACTCACACAAAGCAGGTTCCAGAGGGTAAAGAAACCTCTCTCAGACGAACATATTTACTGACAACTCCAGTAATTCCTGCAGCCACCTCGGGTGTAATTACCATGCAAAGGTTAATCTGACAGCCCTGTCCATAAAACCATTGTCACACACCGTGTGTTTGACTGTCTCTTTAAGACTTTGGCAGTGTTTTGGCACACTTGGGTTCTACCCTGTTCTTGTAAGTGTTGCTTATTGCCATGGCAACGCTAATCAATCACCGTGCTAAAAATAGGCCTTTTCGTTTTTCAAGAGGTTATATGTGGGGAATTGCAAATGCAAGTGCAGGCTGTGCTTTCCATGTGCTGCATTCATTCCCTTCATTTTCATGAGGAAATGCCCCTCTATCCTGCATTCATTCCCTTCATTTTCATGAGGAAATGCCCCAGTATCCTGCATTCATTCCCTTCATTTTCATGAGGAAATGCCCCTGTATCCTGCATTCATTCCCTTCATTTTCATGAGGAAATGCCCCTTCTCGTGTGTGGTAATTACTGTTACAGGCCGGTTATTGCACTGAGTGCTCTCACGAGCCTTAAACCTCTCTCAGCTCATCCAAAATTGAGGTGCCAAATATAGAAAGTTTAAGAAAACAAGCAAATAAACCCCTGAGAATATTCCCCTTGTTTGTTTTTGAGTGTCACAGGTATACTGGGGTATAACAATTTTTAAGGGGTTTATAAGACATCTAGAAAGCCTGGAGGTGACAATATAGAAGACACTTGCTTTGAGAGCTTTACACCTTACCATTGAAGACACTGAAGATTTTGTACTATTTCGTAGAACTTAAGTCTAATTTCAAGTTAAAGATTGAATTTGCCACTATTTTATTCCAAAGAGGAACCTTGCAAGCTGTAGATACAGTGAGATGGAGAGCTGAAAACAGTACCTTGTGCATTCCTGAGTGTGCTGGGGATTGATGACCTCCAGGTCTGTGCTAGAAGAACATGGGCCCCAGGAGAGGCAGAGCAGGAAGGGAGTAGTGCTTGGAAGAAAAAAAATCTGCTCAAGGGTTTATTACCTATTATTCACTCCCCAGTTTGATTCTGACTGTTGCATAACAATTTTAATCCCCGGCTAAGTAAATACGAGGCCACTTTAGGAGGGGGGAAAAAACCCAACAACTTTTTGCATGATGAATAATAGTCTTTTGAATGATGCATAAACAGTGTTCTGGTTCTGCCAGAGCCCTCTGCCAATTAGTCAGAGCACAGCTGATGAATCATGAGACACATTCTGTGAAATGTTCAAAAATTTGGGCCCTGCTTAAGCGTGTTCCTGAAAGCCAGCGAGACCCCCCACGGCTGCTGGAGCAGTGGCTGCCAGTCACTTGAGTTTCTGGGAGATATATTTGCAGTGCAGTTACTTTTGGGTGAATTTTTCACTTGGGGTAAACCCATGTTACCATTTATAATCTCAAATTAGGTTGTTACAGTCCTCCATGCCTAACACAAGGGAGGCTGACTGTGGGTGGGTTTACACAGGGTGACTCTGCTCTCTAATGAGGTGGCTTGAGGTAAAAGGCACTTATGATTCTTCTGTACTACTCTAAGGATCCTTGGTCTTTATCCTTAGTGATTTTTTTTTTTTTTAAATACAAGGTTAGAAGATCTCATCTTTTAATTAGAGTTGAGATCCTGGGTCACAGGAATCAACAACTAGATTCAAGCAGTGTCTTGGTGAACTGCTACAGTTAATATTTGGGACAGCACCATTTCAGTGTCATGACCTGACTCATGGCTGGTGACCTCCAGGCAGTGACTGAAAACAGCAGGGGTTTTTTTAGTAGCAAGGGGAAAGGGAAATCTGGCATTTGGCTTTATTCATAATTTCATCTGCAACTGCAGCCACGCCTCAGATCAACGGCACAAAGGGAGGGGGTTGCCTTTCACGGCACCTCATTTTGGGAAAACTCTCTCCCTTGTTTTTTAAGGATTGACTGTGGATGTGCTGGTTGAGTCCTGGATATCCTGTGCTCAGAAGAAGGTTGAGCAATGACTTGTTGGGTGATATCCGTGGAAGAAGGGACATATTTTCCGCAGCCTGCGGGGAGCTGGCTCCTCATTTCAGTTGTGCTGCAACTCCACCTGGCCTCCTAAATCACCTCTCCCTTAGTCATCAGCCCCTCCCTCAGAGCTCTCCCGCTGTTATCAAGCCCAAACTTGGGCCAACAGCACCGTGGCCACTGAGGCACCGTGTCCTCATTGTATAACCTGTATGTCCAGCACCTTAAAGAGCCATTTGCTGTAGGGGATTTGTGCTGCATCACACGAGGAACTGGCAGTTAATGCAAGAAAAGACTCGGTGACTAATGGTAAAGATGCTGAACTGGAGTCCCTCAGGGTTGGTTACACAGCTGCTCTGTCTGCCTGCCTGCAAAGTTGCTTTGAAAGAAAAACTGTGAAATGCTAAATAAAAGATACTTGAAGTATTTTTTCCACTCGAATTATGTTGCCTACTGTTATAAATTCTAGTCTTCGTAAGACAGCTAAGCTAAGCAATCCTCAGAAAAATAAATTTATTCCCATGTAAATACAGAAATACTATCTTTAATAGAAAAACCATTTTTGTATTCTTAATTTTTTTGCGTTATTGAAAATTTATTTGGGTTTAGTGTAAAGGAATTTCCCCAGCAGCTCATAATCCATCTTAATTTCATGAATAGGAAATTACACTAAAATTCGTTTCTCACTGAAAATTGTAAAAAGCCCTCACACATGAAAGCATTGCTGTCTGTTTGGTCAGGACCTGCAGGTAGTGAAGTGTCCTTGGCTTATTTTATAGGAGGGATAGACTGATCCATGATGAGGAATATCAAATTGCTCTCAAGATCTTAGTGAATTAAATTTATAACAAGGCATTCAGTACATTCAAACTCTTTGGCATAGTGAGCATGGAAACAATTGTATCTAGTAATTCCAGAGTGCCTTTACTAATTTATTTATACCTTCATTATAGTATTCAGCTTTTAGGTAAAATCTCTACATCCCTCCAGTATCATAAAACCCTTTGCTTTTATGTTCTGTGAACTTTCACATTTTTTTCTTGAAGTCACCTGCAAAAAATAAGAAAGCTGATACCGAAAGGGTTGTACTGAATATGTCAGCTGATGAAACAAGGTGCATTTTTTTATGTTAAACATATCTTTCTTCTGTTGCAGTGTTCCTTTTTGCCTAAATTCTCCATTCATATAGAGACGAAGTACGAGGACAACAAAGGAAGCAACGACAGTGTAAGTACAATGGCTTGTGCAACATTAGATTTAATCCTCTTAGTTACCCTGGTCTGTGTCTGGGGGTTGTGGGTCTCAGTTTGGGGAAAAGCCCCATCAGTTTGTGCCTTTGCCCCCCCCCCGGGTGACCTGGTCATGAGGAGCTTCTAAGTTTGCAGGAGTTGCCTCTAAACCAGCAGGAGATGAAAGATCCGTGTACACACTGTCCCTTCTGCCTGTCCCCTTCTACTTGTTACTTCTCTGAACACAAGTTACACATGGTGAACCTTTATGCAGAGTAAAGAAAAGATTACTTTTTTTTTGGTGTAATTGTATTCCAGTTTCACGTAATTCTCTGTGGGTAAAGGGGGTCGAATTCCAAGGAGGTGTCAGGAAGAGCAAACAGGAAACTAAACAATGGTCAGAGATCTCAGTAAACAGCTTCAGGGGAACAGTGGGTGGGGACCGAGGTGATGCTTTTCGCAGTCATTTAGCCAAAATTAAAAAGGTTTCGGAGTTACAGCTTAAAAATGAGAGGACAACTAACTATTTTAAATCCTCTCTAGGGAGGGATGGGATATCCAGCAGCTGCTGATCCGGGGGGCTCAGGAGCAGAGGGCAGGAGCTCAGTGGGGCTTTGTTGCTCAGGGAGCAAAGCAGAGTCCTACACCTTGCCAAAAAAGAGTAACTTCCAATAAAGCCCAACATTTAAAGTTGCAGCCCTTGGATTCACACACAAACACGTTCCTCTGTGTTTCATTTTGGTTTGCTTTAAACAGCCATTGGCTGCAGACTTAGGGGAAGAAGTTTCTTGTAGGCATGAAATACAAGTTACAGTGTCCGGAAAAGTGATCTGTAATACAGAGATCCCAATGAAGGAGTGTTTGAACCCGTTCTTGAGAAGGAAGAAGGCAGTAAAGCAGGTTTTAAGGGTTCTGAGACACAGCCTTCCAGTGTCCTGGAGGTGTCCCTCCTGCAGCCTTGGTGAGGGGAAGGTGTTTTCTGTTCTGCAGGTGGGAGGCACATTTCCCTCAGCCTTGCTGTTAAGGAGGCTGACAGCTGCTGGGCTGCTCATGGCAGGGTAATTACATGTACAAGAACAAGGTATCATTTGGAATAATGCTTTTGGCATACAGACACTTTCCCACTGGGAACATGACAGGGATCATCTATTACCCACCAGATACCCACAGCCCTCAGTCAGTGCTGCTCTGAGCCAGTGCAGTGAGCGAGTCAGAAAGAAGTGTGTTCCATTACCAGCTATGTGAGCATTATGTAATTTATGCACTGTTTAATGTTCACCTTCTGCTTTTTGGCAGCACTTTCATTCAGAGCAAGCCCACACCTTTGGCTTTGGGAGGGTGCAGACTTGTCTTCTGGTACATCATAATGTCAGCAGTGAGCAGACACGTTCTGTGCTGCTGCCTGACAGAGGGAAAACTGAAGCTGTTGAATCAGTGAGTTTTCAGGGTGTCAGCTTGTGGCTGAACCCCTGTAAATCGAGCCCTGAACAGTTCCCAGCCAGGGAATTTAAGATGAAAGGGACACAGAGGTGGGATACTCGGGTGATGTAAATCAAAGAGTCTCTACTCTGCTTGAATCCAGCTCTCCCAATGTCATTTTTCCCGGAGTGCCAGGGGGGTAATATCATATTACCTTTATATTGCAGCACCTGAGTCACAGACTAGGCAAGTGTTTACCTAGATTAAGAGATTTCATTGACCCTTACTTGAACTGAGGAGGAGAAAGAGAAACTGAATTAGAGAGTTGCACTGCAGCCCTAATTTCCCTGGTTTTGTAATTCTGTGAGCTGTGCTATTCATGGGTGTGGACACAGTAAACCAGTGGAATATCTACATTTTTGTGCTGTTGATCCAATGCCCTTGATCTGGTGACACAGACATGGCTGGTACAGCCCTGAAATGCTGAAAGGTTCATAAATATGGAGAGACTTCCGTTAATCCAAACCTTGGAACTGGGGTCCATTTTGTTTCCATTACTCACTGAACAGGCTTAAACTTCTCTTAAGAGCACACAAAGTGTATTTGTCCTTCGTGTCAGACAAGTTTAGATTAAATTTCACAATGTTTGTCTGGCTAGAAAACAAAAGGAAGCAGCATCCATTCCTATAGATCTCCTTAGATACACTATATATTCCTTCATTGCAACTATCAACCTTGGCTGATGAAGAAATAATTAATCCAAAAAATACTTCTGTAAATTTTGCAGTTGTAGTGCAAAATAGACTGAATGAATATTAATGTTATGGTAATGAGGGTAATAATGCATGTCTGATTTTAACTCAGCTATTTCTCTTTTTTTTGAGATCATACAGGTTTTTTGAAATCTTTTATCTCTTCTTCATTTCCATTCTGTCTGGTAAAGTAGATATTGATTGTGAAAAGCAATAATTAGATATAAGGATACTAAAACTCTAAAACTAATTCCACTGATGAATGGAAGAAAGCAATATAAATGCTCTCAGGTTCCTGGTGTCATTTAGCAGGCTGGTATGTTATTGGAATTATTTTATTTAACATGTGGCATTGTCTGGTATAATTCTACCAAATTACTGCAGTATATCTTGATGCAAAATTCCTCCTGATTTTCCTTCCTAATTGTCCTGACAGAAGATACTGGTGATCCATAATGATCACTCCTCCAGAACTTGATTTTTTTATGTCTTTAACTTTGTTATCATCTTAACCTATTTTAAATGTGTTAAAGCACTATTGTTCTGATCTGTTAAAGTTTGAACTTGATTTGCACAAATATAAACACTGACAGAAAGAACAGTGGACAATAATAAAGTCCTTTATTGAGGTAAAACCTTGTGTAGTGGTGCAGAACCATAAATCCATCCAGCTGTGATTTCAGTGCCCAGTGCAGCTGATTTTGCTTTATCACACGAGATGTTCCATGGCAACTCTCTCCTTGGAAAAACAGAGCCAGTGCTGGATGAACACGTTAGTACATCAAATATTGTCCCTGCTACCTTGCAGTTTATAGCTTTGGTAACTGTGAGAAACTGGACCAAGGAGTCAGGCAGTGTTTCCTCTTTTTCCTTTTAAAAAGCCGAGTTCTTGATTTAAAGAGAAATTTTATTTTTTTATTTGACTTTTGTTCGAAATTACAAAATGGAATATCTAAAAAATTAGAATGTTTTCTGTCATGTAAATGCCACAGGAGGTGGGATCTGCAGGGCACATGAAAATATTGCTTCCCCTTGCATCCCCAGCCCGTGACGTCGGTCGGGGCCGCAGAGGGAGCTGCAGGTGCAGCAGCAGAGCCTCAGTGAGCACAGACCAGGGGGAAAGTGCAGAGTAATCACACACTTCTCTTACCATAAGGAAAAATCAGCACTTTGGGAATCGGAATGTAGAGACAGAAAGTCTGTGTTTTGAATATTAAAACCGTAGGGCACATCCAGGAGAATCCCTGAGGTTGCCCAAGGATTGAAATGGTCCCAAATCCGGGCAGGAGGGGTGTGAGTTGCTGCTCGTTTGGGAGTGACTGGGGTGTGTGCTTCCTAGGAACAGACTTCCTTAATCTGTGCTTTTATTTGGCCAGGTCTTTTCTTTACCCAGTCCATTGCATGGTCAGTATTTGTGTCACACAGGGCTCATTTTAATCTAATTGGTATCTTGCTCTCACTTTCCCCCATCTCCTGTTCTCACTATTTCCATGTACACTACAGACACACATTTTGGGTTTTTTAGTTTTAGGGAGGAATGCACCAACTGTGCATGACAATGAGCTGTGTTGATTCCAAAGGATCCACCATATGGCTCCAGTGGATGCTGTAATCAATGCACAGTGATCTCACACAGCTCCCTGTTTTCCTTGGATGCCACACTCTAGTCATGGGGAAAAGGTTTGAAAAGCAGTTTGTAGCTGAAGGTAGAGAAAGGCAGAGTGAGGACAGACACTGTTCAAACAAATCACTGAATCACAGAGACACTCAATTTTCCTGTTTGTTGCAGAAGGGTCATTATGTTTGACTGATTGCTGTTGGTTTGTTTTGATTTGTTTTTTAGTCACAGAATTAATTGCTGCTGATATTTGGGCAGTGAATCTTTGCCATCTGACAGTGTCTAAGGAAAGCAAAAAAGTACAGCTTGTAAAATAATCCAAAAGTTGTCAATAATGGAAATTCACTGTATATAAAACTTCCAGTGCCTTGCTCTTTGTAGCATAACATTTTTCTCTGGAAAGCTCCATGGCTGGGTCTTGATTATTAAACTGAAGTAAAATAAATTTTAGGTATGGCAGCTCACAAGAAAATCCATTTCTAGTTTGGCTTGATTTAGGGTGGGTTTTTTTTCCATAGTTTTATCTCCTGTCTTAGTAACATGGAAGTAGGTTGTAACAAACTTGAATATAGCACATGGAAATTAAATGTAAATTCACTATTTAAAGCAACTGCCATGAAACACTGATTTAAGCTGAAAAGGATTCAGCTGTGCCCTGGTTTAGCCTCACTGCACAGCAGGATCTCATTCTGGAGACTGTCAAAAGGATTGCTGGGCATCACTCAAAACATGGCAAAGTCAAAGCCAGGGGCACTCTGAGGGTGCTTTTATTTGCACCTGGACTTTCCCTGTATTTTGGTATTAAATATCCATCGTCTCCTGTGTAATTTGCAGTGAAAAATCCTGATTTTTTAAAGCTTTCCCCCCTCTAATAATTCTCAAAAAATACAAGCCAACCAGAGGAGAGGTTAGCCTGAAATTCCTCCTGTGTGAAGAGCTGTCTCTTTGTTGAACTCCAGATCGTGTGTCCCAAGCACATATGGCTCTCACAGAACATATGACAGGGCCCACACTGACAGGGAGTGTGAACAAGTGCTGTGGTTGTGCCTCTACATTTTGATTTTTCTAAATGAACTGCCGAAGTGAGTTAGTAAATCTGGCACTTGAACTAGATGTGACTTAAAAAAACCTAATCCCAGTAAATATTATAGATAGTGTATCATGGTCTTGGAAGCATAGCTACTTTGACATAAGGGCATAAAAATCCATTTCTGTGTCCGGAAAGTACAAATCTAAATGAGATATTTTGTAGGAGATGGAATAAGAGGGGAGTCGTGACATGGAGATCAAAAGGAGCAGGGAGCAAGGCTGCAGATAAATATGTGAGTGCCTCTCCCTCTCTGCAGCAGACAGGGATATTCCCTTGCAGTTCAGGGAGCCAAATTTTCTGCTCTCACAGAGGGATTCAGCCTTTTCCCATAGAAGAATTGCTCCCAATTATGTGTGTCCACAGAAATAGTTTTAGCCAGCAAACAGGTCTGAAATTGGTCAATTCCTGTAATCTTTGCCCAAAAAAAAAGCAAATTAAGGGACTTTGGAGGTAAAAGAGGTTGGGGCATGACTTACTGAAAAGTTACACAATAAACTCCATGGATAAAGTTCTGAGTGGAAGTTCTTTTGGCTTAGAGCAAATTTTCCTTCAGAAAAACGAGAGCTGCAGTGCCCCAGGTGACACAACCTGCTCAGGGGTTCTGGCCCTGGCAATCTGAGGAGATCAGAATTTCAAGGTGGAGAGTATATTTTGTGCCTTTTTTTTGGTAGAAAAAAAAGGATTATTCTTGCAGTCCTTGCTGCAATTACACCCCTAACACGAATTAGCTGCCTCATTACAGGCTTCTGACCACAAACTCCTTGTGTCTGGGCTGGTAAAAAAAGAAACCATTTTGTGGTAATGAACAGAGCTGAACACCTTTTCCAGCTGGTAATCCTTGGATGGCTCTTCTGCTCTTGAGGGCACAAAAACCAACATCACAAGAGAGGATCATGTATTATGAAATAAAGCCCAGCCAGAGGCAGGGATGTGACCCTCCTGGTAGTGCAGAGGAGCGAGGAGTTTGCCAGAGTGGGTGGAATCGATGGATTCAGCAGGATCTGCCTTTATACTGTTTATATCCAACCCAGGTTAGCTTTGGGGATTGGCCATGAAAGTTAAATTTTGGATTGACTACATCTGAGTGGAATCGAAGCCAGCAACTTAGCCTGAAAAAATAGGAAAAAGAAGCAAAATGGGAGAGAAGCTTGTAGCAAAGATGATGTTAGATTTGCTCTTACTTCCCGTCATCTCCTAACCTGAGTTTTTATTCTGGCTGTGGCCACCTGGGAAAGAGAGTCACTAGCCAAGGGTGTGCCAGGATATGTTATTGAAGGGCATGAGAGAAATTTAAATACCTCAGGTTTTACAGTTTCTGCAGTGTCCTGTGTGAGCTCTCTTTCCTGAGGTGCCAGCATCATCTGCCACAGGGGTTTTTTGTGTGCTTTGGTTGGTTGGTTTTGTTGTTGTTTTTTTTTTATTTTCACCAGGAGAAACTACTGACGATCATAAAGACCCAGTTGAAACCTTTCTTCCACTTTCTATCACTCTGTGACGTGCTGAGATCCATTCCTCTTAGGAAGAGGAAGTGTATAAATGTTTGTTTTAGAAAAGCTGTCACATTCCTCCCCCCCCTCCCAAATAAACCCAAAACCCACAGCAAAAAGGACACTTCAGCCTGAATGTTGCTCTTTGTTTTCCATTTGATTGTGTATTTCAATCTCAGTTAATTACTTGGCTTCCAAATGTAAAGCCTGTCCAGTTCTTTCCAATATAATATTTAATATTCTGCCTTTCTACATCATCTCCTTAAGGATACAGATTGTTCTCACCGTTCAGTTTCTGCACATTTGCAAAGACAGTTGCACAGATTGGGAGCCTTCTGCTTCTTTTTGTGGCCTTTAATCTTTTCCCTTAAAACTTTTAAATTTCTCCAGTCTCTTTGATCACAACCACAATAAACCCATCCTCCCTACAGGGTTTCAGGCAATCCCACATTCTGTGGCTACGAGAGGCAATAAGAGAATTAGAGCTAAGAAAGAAATCAGTCTTGTTCTCTAATGACTTCTTATTTTCCACTGCTGATAGAATGAGAAGATTAAATCTCAAACTGCAAATCTTGGGAGGACAATCTGAGAAGGGGAGAAGCATAAATGATTAGACAACAAGTTCTGCTGGCAAAGGGAAGTGAAAATGTCATTCAGCAAAGCTCTGGAGTAGAGGGAATGGTCAGAGACAGCCTGGGCAGCAAATGAGGCATCATTGAAATGGTTGAAAAATTCCTCCTGGTTTTGACAGATTGGCAAAGGCATCTGTCATCCCCACTTCCATCACAGCACTTTAAAGAGAGGAAAGGAATTTAGAGCTATATTCTAAATGAGGTGAAATACATGGATCAAGCCTGGGACAGAGCAGGGCACATTTCTTTGGGTAAGATACTGGGTAATAATCCCCATTTAGAGCCTTGCAAATGTGCAGAGATTTGCATGTGCTTAAATTTATGAGGCTTGTACCTAAACCATGGACAGATTCAGAGCCTCAGCTGACCTGGTAATGTCCATTTAAGAGCAATCTCCATTATTTTGTAGAGATTATGGTGGAAAGGATCTTGTTCCAGAAATAGTCCAACTTATTTCGTTGTGAGCTGCTCTGTATTTCTGAATTTGTTTAGGAAAAAAAGCAAGGGAAGAAGCTTAGGAAAAGCGACCTATATTATATATATAAAGCCAGCAGTGATTTACATCAGTGTGCCCAATTCAGGGAAGGAGCACTACAGGGGAAGGACCTCCCAGCTCCAGTTTGTTCAAATAATCAGCACAATTTTTTGCAAAGCAGCGATTGGAGAAGGAGGACAGGCACACAAATAAAACTAGGCTGTAGTTTCTCTTTTTCAGTTTTTCTGCAGTGTCAGATGTGTGAACATGTTAACATCCAGCTCAATGAACATGCAGTGCTGCCTATTTCATTCACTACCAAGACAAGTTAAAATTTTAGAGTCAAAACTTCAGCTTTTCCTCTATTTGAATTATGATTTCCTGAGCAATGTTCTTCTTATCAGCTGGTTCCTGTGTTCACTGGAGTCCATTGCTCACTTCAAATTCTTTAAATGGGCAGCTGCTTTGCTTTCAGAAATAATAAAGTAGCATTCTTGTTCCTAAAGAGTTGCTGGCATTTTGTATTTTTAACTGTTCCTCCAGGATGAAATTAAATGAAATTAAATCAGCAGAGCGTTCGCTGCATTTATTTAAAGAGGGGGGAAAAAAAAAAGGAAAACAAAAATATTTATGCTTCCTGGAAATGTCAGCTATAGAACATTGTGCCCCAAAGGAAAAAGCACATCATGAGCTTGTTACTGATCCTGACAGTGGCTGCACAACTTCCCTGAATTTCATGGCACTAATTCACGGCAGCCTTTAACTCAGCACTATTTCCACGCCTCAGAATTATGAGAGAAACATATTGCAGACACAGTGTAAGTCACATGGGTCACTGAGATGCCTAAATAATTAAATTATGGACAGAGGCACAGAAGGAGACTGTGCTGCAGCTGCAAATGACCTGGATTTTCAAAATATCCCCATCGTTTGCCTGGCATAGAACAAGAGACTTGGGGTTCCGAAGCAGGTCCTGAAGGATTGAAATGAAGATGGGCTCTGTGTGTGCACAGATGGATAGGAGGAGCTTGCAGCTTCCACTGAGGCAGTTCAACCAACATTTGGAGTCTCGGTATAACAGCAGCTTAGGCTGAGTGTTCACAGCAAACACCTGCACCTTGCTGTCCTCAGAGTGAGAAGGTCAGAAACACCCCGAGTGCAGAGAGCTGGGGTTTTACACAGTGATGGGCTCTAGGGCAAACATTGGAGAACATGGTAAAACCAATCTGAGCTGGTGACTTTACTGTTTGGAGCCAAAGTCTCCATCCAGAAAGCCCAGGGAAGAACAGCAGTGGGAGCAGGAGGTGCTGAACACAGTGTGTGCAGGAGGCTGGAGAACGTGACCGTGTCCCTGCAAAACCCTGAGTGTCTTACACGAAGCTGTTCAGGCACAAGCCTAAAATACATTCTGTTGCAGGTCATTGAAACTGCTTGTAACCACGACTCCAGGTGGATTTTGTGAGGGTGTTGTTCTGTCACAGCCTTGAATTTCTTTAACTCTTGCAGATTTTTGACAAAGAAGCGAAAGACCTGGAGCGAGAGGTTTGCTTTATTGACATTGCCAGCGACGAAATTCCCGAGCGCTACTACAAGGAATCAGAGGTAAGAGACAGCCTGGTTGTGAAGTGGTGAGGAAGGGAGTGTAAGAGGCTGCAGAAAAGCCTGGCTAGGAATCAGAACTATTTTTATTTTGGTCTGAAATCTTGCTGGTCAGTAGTATTCCAAAAGCTATCCAGCAGAGGGGAAGCAGCAGCAGCCTCTCTGTCTGGATTGCCTGACACGTTCCTTTGCAGATGATTCCTTTTGAAATGCTTCCCTGCCATTATCAGGAAACATCCTGTGCCAGACCTTTGATATTCAGTTGAATTAATCCAAAATAGAAAAGGCCTTTTCTCTGAATTGTGAGGCTCAGGGAGAAGTTTGCAGGTCTGAGCAGTTTGAAACTTCCCTGTTGGCCTTATTTGCATCCCACCCCAACTGTTAAGTCCTGCCAAGTGCCCAAGCCCAGCAAAGGGCAGATGTGCTGCAGTGACAACGGGGCTGGTGCACAGTGATGACACAAGACCAAGAGGGACTGAAGCAAACTGCAGACTGCAGCAGATCTGCCAAAAAGCATCAATGGCAGCAGGCAAAGCCACTCTCCGAAAATTCCCTTGGAAGTTGCTCCCATGTATATTTGATGGAGCCCATCTTTGAAGAGCCCGTTTCTTCTGGGTCAATGCACTTCACTGTTTGGAATCAGCAGCCACCATGCAGATGAAGATGAGGTCTCTCAGTGTTTTAATCTCAGGGTTGAAAAATGATGGTTCACAACAAGCAGCTCGAGAGGAGTGATGGGATCTGTGCTCACATTTAATTTTGGAGATATGATTTGTCTCTGGAGCCAAGTCTATATTCATAGCTGGCAGTGAGTATGGCAGCTGTTTGACTATATAAAACGAGACTACAGAATCATTTTTAGGATAAAAAGTGAAGACTTGCCAATAAATGTATTTCTATACTGTAGGAGACACGATTTTCAGACTAAAAAAGTCGAGTACTTGTTATCTTCCATTTATAGATCCTATTTCAAATGTTATGTACAGGTCATAAACCAAAATTGGGTCTCCAGTAGAATGAAAAGTAGTTCTATTAGTTTCCTTAGATAATGAAACCCATCTGTTTAGTACCAAAAATTATATAACACCTCATCAAACAGCTTATTGGTCCCATCATCTTATCAGAACTCCAAGGATTCTCGCTCCATTTAGGAATGAGCTGCTATGCAATGGGTCAGCATTTGGCTGTGCTTTAAAGAACTTTATGTGAGAGTTTTCATCTCAGCCTGTGCAAATCCAGAAATTATAAACACAAAGGTAACATCCAGTTTTGCAACTTTCCTGCCCGTTTTTGATAGCCATCTATTAAGCATAATTTCCATATGATTAATCTCATGGTATAGAAAACCAGCCTCAGCTTGAGGGAGAAAAGAATTTCAGTGTCTTTGTGTTGTTATTTCGAAGACAAATCTAGAGACCTGATTCCAAGCAAAATGGAATTTTATATGGGTTGAAACAACAAAAATAGCCCAGCATCTGTTGTTTTTTCTGTACTGATGGATGATTTGTCTGTTGACTACCAAATTCTGTTTCAGAATTCATACAGAACAGTAAGAACACCTTTAGCATTTAACTGTGCACATGCTGTAATTGAGAGTGAGTTAATAATACTTGAAAATAGTGTCTCTTCCAAAGTTTACCAACTATGGGGTTTTATCCTACCCTATGATGAACATGAAGCCAAATCCCCATTTCTGATGAGGCCTCTTACATAATTTAGGCACTGTAAAAAGGTTTTTAATGTTTGTAAATGTAATTTCCGGCTGTTTTCAATCAGAACAGCATGAAAAAGTAATTCCATGCAAATGAGAAAGGGTTTGTGTTTCCCAAGTAGCAGCTTCAGAGATAACTAAAACCAGTTAGTGCAAGCTTTTGAAATGTATTTTAGTTGCACTAATAACAACAATTTGGCTGCTTTTAGGTCATGTAATCTGAACTGATACTAAGTTTAAAGATTAAAGGCAAAGTGCAATCCTCAGGATTTACCAATTAGATCCAACAGGATAAATGTCCTGACTCCCGCCCAGAAAGACCAGTGGGAATGATTTTAACTTCAGGCATGGCAGTAATCTCTCCATTTCAGGGGCTCTTTCACAGGCTTAAAATAAAGCAAGTTCTGTATCAGGGTCAGCGTGTTTGGCAGCTTCTAGAAATGAGCTTTAAATTGCTTTACATCCTGACGAAAGCTCAGCCCTCTTCAATTATAAATATACTTCAGTTTTTAACAGCAAATGTCATTATTTAGCTGTATTACTGTATATTAGAGAGTGGCTTAAATAATTTAAACCCTTCCCACACTACTTGCACTGCTTGCTCTGTGTTGGTGCTTATGAGCCTGATTGTAAAGGGACAGTCACCACTTTCCATTTTAATGATTCACACCCAAAAAGACAAAATGTATAAAACACCCTCATAAATGTAATATTCCATTTGAATTGCACAGCTCATTTTGACTGGTGCTGGTACTGATGAGAGAGGAAAAGTGTTCCATGAAAATGTCCTGGCTGTTGAAGGGAAATGATTGAATTCGACTTTGTGCATATTTGCTTTTCTCTCCTTCTAAATATTAACTAAAATTGAAAAGTGAAGAATGTAGTTAGCTGGAGGCTTAAGGAGAGCTGTTGTTTCATTGAAGAACACTTTAAGGGAACCTCTGCCAGTGATACCGAGGGATCTCTTGAACAGAATCATCCAAGTGATTGGAATTCCCTTAAGGATGGAGGGCTTATCTGGCAGCGTGAGCACAGAAGGACCGAAATCACCGAGTCAACAGTGAATCAGAAGGCAGTTTTGTGAGCTATTACAAACACTTACAGAGTCCAGTTCTGTCTTCTGTGGAGGACTCATTTCTGCCCTTGCAGAAGGCTGTAGAAGGCAGCAATTCATGGGTCCCAAAGCACGACTTCATTTTAACTTCATGACCATCTACGGACTCCACCGTGAAGCAGCCACGTCTGAAATACAAGATGTGTTTTTTACAAGCACGGTGCTAAAAATCCTTAAACTTTGAAGAAGTTTAAATTGGAGGTTCCAAATGGAGCAAGCTCGAGTGTGGATCCAAGCTGACAGGTTCGCCTGTTTGTAAGGAGCCACGTGTGTTCCCAAATCTGAATGTACTTACTGCACTGAATACAGAATTTTGTGTTTCTCTACAGAGCCTGCAGGTGAGAGTAGTTGTACATTTTGTAAAGTCATTTCCTTGTGGCTTTACCGTCCATGAATATGTATCACCAGCCATCCTGTGTTCCCCATATAGACAGACATATTTATCTGAATTACAGAGAAGAATGGAGCTGAGCTGAGCTGAGGAGCGAGAGCCTCCAGTGAATCATTCCTGCAATGAAACATTGACCGGAGCTGGGAGCCACTGAGCGAAATGTTCTGTGCAAACATATTCCAGTTCTCAGAATTAACAATGTTTCATTTCCTGTTTATAACAAAGCAACGGAGAGCTGGACAAATGGAATAAACTTTTTCAGGCTACCTCCAAACACAGGGATTTCGTGCAGCTGCTGCAGTTTTCTTCTGCCATTGCTGGCTTTTTTTCCTCTAGCACAGCAGCACTGTCCAGCTTAGCACAGTCCAGGTGCTTTCAGAGTGACACAACCTCTGTCACATCACAGAGTGACAGTAGCTGAAGTAATCCAGCTGCCTCAGCCCCCCAGTGAGTGTGGGCACCGTGTCAGCACAGGAGTTCAGTGCAGGATGTTGCAAAAACATGAACATTTCCTTTTCCTTACTCTCTTCAGTTCTGAGTTTATATAAACCTGGCTGGATTATCATATTTTAATGCCTCAGAACTGTCCCAATATTTACAATTCTGAAGTATTTAGCTGGCTCTTCCAGAAAATACATTTTAATGGAAATTTTTAAAGGAGCCCTTAAAAAAATGACTCTCCATAAATGTCTGTAGTAACATCTTTACATCAACAAATCTTTCCTGAGCCCTGGCTATAAAAGCTGAAATCCAAAACCTAACAACTCCAGCTGATGCTGAAATGCCAGATCACAGGTATTAAACCCATGAAAGGTTGGTGCTGAAATTCAAGATCAAACAAAATGGTCTTCAGCTTAAAGGGGGGAAAAAATTGACTGCACTTCAAAAGCACCGTGATATTGCAATAGGAGTCTGAAAAAATTAACCCAGGCATTAAAAGGAAGGAAGGAAGGATCTCTTTCAGGGACATCTGGGTACTTCCAGTGAGAAAACAGGATGCATGGCATGAGCAGCATGTTCAGCTTGGGGACCTTTGCCCAGGCTGAAATGGCCACCCAAGCACCAAGGGGCTGTCGAGGCAAGTGGGTGACAAGGCTCCCAAGGTGTCCCACAGAGGCTTCCAGGGTGTGGACAGAGGGGTGTTATCAGCTGCATCTTCACATCATGTCTGAGAGCGGGACAGAGCCAGGGGCAAAGGTGCCCCTGCAGGTTTGGAGGTTTTCTGTGAACAACAAATGTAGTTCATTGTTTAACTTGAAGTACAAAGTGACATTTAACAGAATTAATACTGAAAAGTCATTGCAACAACCCAGTGTTGGTGTTTGCTTCCTGGAAAGGGGGGTGAGGATTCCATGTCTGATGCCCGTGACGTCCACAGTCCACGAGGAAAGTGAAGTAAATAAATGCTAAATGTTAAATAATAGACACTCCAACAAAGACCATGTTGAGCCAGGACTTGTGGTCTAAGTAATAAACCCTTAAATAATGAGAGTGCTAGGTTTGAAACCATATCCAGCACATTGGGGCTTTTATTTCATTGTAATTTTACATTTTATTCTCAGCTAAGCCCAGCTCGTGGGTTATGATGTTTCTGCTCTGTTGGCAGAAGTGCTATTTTTAAATCACTCTGCACCTGGCAATAATGTATTGCAAATACAGAGTAGGTTTTGCTCCTCTAGCAAAAGGATTTGCCAGATGGGCTTTCCTAATAAATTGTGTCTGATAAAAGGACGAGAAGGTTATTTAAACAAAAAGATTTTAGCTATGCCATTACATTTGAAACAGATTGAGGATTTTGCCAGTAGATAAATTAAGGGGAAAATAGTGGATAGACTCAGTATTCTTTGGATGATGGCTTCTCTAGGAAGGAAGGCATGGGTGGCTAAAAGCAAAAATAAGGCACACACAAAATTAATTATCTAAAGAATAACATAAAACTGGGGCCAGAGCAAAGCTCAGCTTGCCCAGTTTCTAGTCATGGACAGAATTGTTTCAAACACTGTGTCACGAGTCCTGCCTAGAGAAGCAGTGCTGGGTACCAATATCATTTCTGCTTGGTTTTAATGTTCAGCCCTGCTTTATTGCTTCATGTTTTTGGTTTAGAAGGACCTTACAGGCCTAATTGCAGAAAGGATTCCAGGCTGTAATCCTACTGTGGTAATTTGACCCCACAAGTTAGGCACAAAAAATCATTCATGTCTGAGTTTTCACTGATTTCAGGGGGCTTTGGAACAGCATCATCTGAAGAGCAGAAGATGAGCAGTCCTGGTCCCAGCATGTCCCTCTGGCATGGCATGTTCTCCATGGCTGTGACCAACAGCACAGGCCTGGGAAAAGTGGAAATACATGCAAAATATAGAGAAGAATGTAGAGATTCTTCTCCTAAACACTTCCTGGTATGAACTGTAGCTGAAGCAATTGTTGAGACAGAATTTGTGTCTTTCTGAACCAGTCCAAGATGTTTTTAAACACCTAATTTTTCAGCATCTGGGTAGATGAGCCCAGTGATGTTCGCTTTAGCGATGATAACAATAATATCTCCCCTCTGTCAAACATTTGTGCCCTTCAAATTGATGGCCTAGAGGTTGAACCCTCAAGTTCACTTTGCCTCATGCCTCTTGTCCCACTGCTTGGCTTCTGTGCAGCCTTTGAGCCTCAGCCCCCTGAGCTCAGTAAAAAATTATAAACACCTTGATCTTTCCCACAGCAGATCTGGAAATCTGCCCCCCCGAGTCCTGGCTTCCATTCATCAGTCTGCAGTTCCACAGTACCAATATGTTAATGCTTTCAGAGAGGCAGGAATTTCCCTAAAAGCTCTGGGATGTGAGTTGCCCGGACGGTCCGTCATCGCCTGGCTCTTGGCTTGGAGCTGTGCAGCCAATTTGTGACTAATCTTCGTGTCCTTCAAGAGAAAGGGACGTGATGAAGGGACACAAAGGTGCCATCTCTGGGTGCTGTGACAGGAGAGTGATGTCAGGGATGAGCTGCACTGACTTGTGGGCCACCAAGTTGAGGGTGATCCCCCCCATGTGTCCCCTTGTCTGGGTTAAACTCAGCAAAGCAAACCAGCCCCGAGGTACAAAAGCTGTGACTGAGCAGTGGGACAGGGCAGTTCCTCCTGATTTCATTTTTATTTATAAAGTCTCAATCCTTGATCCTGACTCAAGTTGATTACATTATATCCCTTTGGACTGCACTGAAGTTATTCCATTACAGATCTGGTTACCTCTGAAAGGATATAAAGTACAACACTCAGAATTATTAAAGAGTGTGTCTGAAATGCTGAATCAAGGCACTGTGTGTGTGTAAGGAACAGCAGACCCTGCCTTGTAGGAAACTATTTTCCCTTTCAGAAATACTTATTTTACACTTGGAATATTTTACAGGGCTGTTTGAAATCATATTTTCTGTAATTATTTCTTTATTCAAGGAACCACCTACTAGAATGTTACATCTTTCTGAATATCATGTCTTACTTCTTCCCTTTTTTTTTCTTTTCTATTCGTATTATTTTTCTGTTGATTGCTTCAGATCAATTAGAAAACAACTCTTTCAGCCAGAAAATATCCATATCCATCTGAGGTCGAGCTGTGTTGGGTGAGAAGATTGGCAGCATGATGTGACCATGAGCTGTGCTGCACAGGGGGGTGTTGCTCTGTAATACGATGACACTGAATAGTTTTTATGGTGATTTAACATTGAAACCTTATTAGACTGTGAGCCTCAAGTCTCCACTTAGCAAAGCCTGTGTCAGCAATAAAAGGAATGACTTTCACAGAGGGGAAAGACTCTTCACCTCATTAGGGGTTTGTAGAGGAGCTTTAATGGCAGAGCTTCAGTTTATGGGTAAAACCAGAAGCCAAGTCAGGAGATGAACATCAGGGAACAGGAATGCTGAATGATACATAAACTCACACTGGATGAAAGAAAATTAAGGTCAGAGTAGTCTTATCAATTTTTTGTTAGTTTTTGTCCTGATTATCTTCAATATAGCACATAATTAAAGCAGATATTTAAATACATGTTTAACTGCTTTTATAGCAAAGGATCTTCCCAGACCTCAGCTTTGGGGAAGGAACACAGCTGAGCACTGGTGGTTATTCTTGAGAAGAGATTTTAGAAACTCCACTGTGAATTTTCTAAAATGACATTATTTTCAAGTTCTGAAAAGCAGTGCTTAACTGTAAATTATTTCTATTTACAAGATATAATTAGCAGGATTGGACATAAAGGGAAATGGGATTATACCAATATGGAAAATAACACTTTGATAGATAAAACTGCATCTTCTACAGATAAAAGTAAACTTTAAAGATGAACTAATGTCTTTAATGGTTTTATGAAATTATGTTGTGATTTCAACACCAATTTCTTTGATTTTTTGGGTTGTGAAAGAGAGGCAGAGTTGGAATTAGTGTTGGCCCATAACCAGAGAAGGCTAAACTGGAGGACTTTCCTACTGAGGTGCCCACGTGGCTGTACAAATTCCCTTCAAATGGGGAATGACATTGTCAGGGTCACATCAGTGCTGAGGTGTCAAAGCCCCAGTTGGCCACGATTTCAGGAAGATGGGAGCGGGTGGAAAGTAAAGAGTCACTCACACTGAGGGAGAGTGGAAAAGCAAGCTCTGAAGAAGCCACTTTTTGTTTCCAAAGGCCATAAATAACCCTTGGAGAGCACTGCATTGTAATGACTTGCAAAAACAGATTTTCCTATAGCAGAAAACGTCCCAGCTGATACCACTGTCAGTGCACCTCCAGGAATACTCTGCCATCAACTCACTGCCAGGGTTGGATTACAGGATATCCTAGTGCTTGTTTAACTCAATTCCCTGTTCATTTTTCAAGATGTTTGTTAGCATGGTTTAATATTTTATGTCTTACCAAAACATTTACTTTAGCAAGCTGACAAACACGACTTCCCCGCCTGCATTTCCCTGTTTGTTTTCTTTGTTTTGCAGGATCCCAAATATTTCAAGTCACAGAAGACTGGGAGAGGCCAATTGAAAGAAGGCTGGAGAGAGACCCACCAGCCAATTATGTGCTCCTACAAACTTGTGACTGTGAAATTTGAAGTCTGGGGACTTCAAACCAGAGTAGAGCAATTCGTACACAAGGTCAGTGAAATGGGAGCTGTTTCTTACCCTTCACATAAGCAGAACTTGAGCACACACAGGAATGTGGCTCTGGTTTTGGAGAGGCCTGGGAGCTCAGCTGAGTCCACTTCAGACCTCTCTCAAGGTCTGAAAGATCTGGAGCAGAGCCAGGGAGTTCATCTCTGGGTACAGACTTGAGAAAGCCTGGAGCTGCTCAGGGCTAAGGATGAGAACAACTATCCATAACATTCTCAGTACTGGGACAAATATGTGAGCTAAAGTATTTGTGAGTATATATGAGCGCTGGACATGTAGCAGTGAGGTGCAGAATTCCTTACAACAGGTAGTGGGAAAGTTTTCCAGTCTATTAAACAATGAATTAATGAATGGCATAACAGCCAAATGATAAGATTTTTCAAAGTATTGACCTTCCACGTGTTTAAAAAAACTAAGAAGGAAAAAGAACTGATGCAGAATGTCTAACTGCCCAAAGATTAATGGATTATATGCACATTCCCAATGGATTACATGCTAGTCAAGGCCATGCTGAAGTGATCCAGTGTTGGCAACAGATCCATTTCTAGTGGGAGACTGGACTTTGAGCCCTTCTGAGCCAGCACCTCTGACTCTGCAGGGCATGACCTCTTAGACCCAAAACTGTCACAGTGATTTTCACTTTCAGTGGTGTTGAAAGACAAGGGTGTTACTTTTCTGAGGTGTTTTGTTGCTATTTAACCCTTTCCCTGTTTGCAGGTGGTCAGAGACATCCTGTTGATCGGTCACCGGCAGGCGTTTGCCTGGGTGGATGAGTGGTATGGTGAGTGTGCTCCAAGCTTGGCCCATTTCTAAGGGCTCATGCAAAGCTCAGGACAATTAACAGCAGATTTCCATTTGATTTCCTGGACCATCATGTCCAGAAAGGTTGTGGACTCCCATCCCTGGAAATGTTCCAGGCCAGGTTGGACGGGGCTTGGAGCAACCTGGTCTAGTGGAAGGTGTCCCAGCCCATGGCAGGGGGTTGGAATGAGATGGTCTTTAAGGTCCCTTCCAATCCAAACCATTCCATGATTCTGTGGTCATCAGGTCCTCCTGTAAGTTGTTCATGAACAATGAACTATGAGATGTTCACAGTTCCAGGAGGTGGAACTCTGTGCAGTTTCTCTGATCCTCTTGGACCTCATTTGCTGCAGGTTCTCTTTAACCAGAGCAGGCTGGATTTAGGCAGCCAGGAAGCAGCATCCAGGGATGCCTTTCCATCCCAAAATCTGAATGTACCTGCCCCAGTGCCCTCTCCCTGCACTGCAGGCAGGGAGGAGCTGCCCCTGCCAGAAGAACCTCCTTCAGGTTTGCATAAAGCTGAAGTGAATGAAATAATCAGTGTGATAAACAATGTGTTCTGTTGTGGATATTAGTGGCTGGTTGCTGTTACTGACACTGTAAGTATGAATGTCTTGTCATTAAATTTACTGAACTATATTTAGCTTTATTATGAAGAAATTCTATTCTCTCAGTGTTGTTTACTAATAAAGAGCATGTTCTCTGCTTGGCAAAGTGCATCCCAGCATGTTACTGACACAGCTTCTGAGCTTGTTTTTCTTTCCAGATAACACTAAAAGACTGAAAAAGCAGGAGTTAGTGGTATTCCAGGTTTCCTTTTGATCAGAATTTTAGACTGCATTTCTTTTTACTGATGAATTCTGACACTGTGCTGCAAATACAATGGGTGAGGTTGTGTCTTTCCTTAAAAGCTGCCTCATAAAATGCAGCAGGAGCCTCCTGGCACGGAACAAGGAGTGGTGTGATACAAGAATTTGCAAGTCCTGGTGGCACATAATAAACCTGAGAAAAATGGGAGCCTCAAGAGTAGATCACACTGTGCAGGACCAAAGGGGCACCCATTTGCAAGTTGACTGTGCCAATAAAATGCTCTTTTAAGTGTCAGGAGTAAAAAGTTGATGGCTGTTTTTATGAGGCTCCAAAGTTACCAAACCCTTGTAAAGAACAGACCAAAATCCTGACACCATTCCTGTTCTGACTCCTGACTCCCAAGTGGATTTATTGAGATCATGGGAATACTCAGAAGAGTAAGGTCACAAGTCAATTATTGGATTCTTTATGTTTTTACTGGAGTTGTGGTTGATGACAAATCCTGTTAAATCTGTAATTATTGCCTGGTGTTACGAGACAGACTGAGCTGGTTGGACACCAGAGCCAGGCCAGGGCAGTGGGAAATGATCCTGCTGGGGGGATCAACCTGATTTGTAGGATATTTCTAATTCTTATAAATTGCTTCAGGCTCCACAACTTGTAGTCACTAATGTAGTCACTATTAATTTACTTCCCTATGTAAGTAAATGTTAGTTGCTGCAATCTAAGCTGGGGGGGTTCTAGCACTTAATTTGCTGGTTATGAGCTGTACAGTGCAAAGATAACATGAAATCTTTTTGCCAGTGCTGGAAAGGTAAGTAAATATTTATAGTGTTTATAATGTTTTCTATCCTTTTTTCCAAGGGATCTTCTAAAATCTGCTTAGAAGATCTTGGCCTTTGGCAAGGCCTGCTCTTCAGTGCTTCCTGCCTACCTTACATTACACAGACACTCCTAAACAATTTCCACTCCTTCCTGTTCTCTGGCTCCCTTTGACTTAACCTCCTTGCACCTTCCTTGGCTGACACAACTACCTTTATGAGGCAATTTTCATAAAGCTAGTTGCTCCTTGCTTTTTAAAAAAACCCTTTGTTGGCTTCCGCTGAAAGACTTTGTGTTCCTAGAACCTTCTCCTTAAAAAAAAAAATTAATTAAAAAAAATTAAGTTTGCCCTGAATCAATGGAAAATGCCAACAATTTTGAACTTTTTACAGATATGACTATGGATGATGTTCGAGAATACGAGAAAAATATGCATGAAAAAACCAACATTAAAGTTTGCAACCAACATTCATCTACTGTGGATGAAATAGAGAGCCATGCCAAAGCCAGAGTAGGTCAATTTTTAAAACATCCATATACACAGACCATAGGAGAGCAACCAGCTGATCTTGCTGACCAGCCAGTGGAGTTTTGGGGAGGTTTTGCTTCAGCAGGAACAGAATCTTTCTCCATGAAGTGCAATCCTCCCCTTGGTTTGCACTTTAAACCTGCCACTGGTGTAAGGAAGGGTGGGGTTGGGCTCCCTGTCCTCCAGGAAAACACAATGCTCAAATTTCAGTTGGATGCATAAAGAGGAAGTTAAAGAGGAGTTTTACTCCTAGTCTTTAAATAGTTAAAAAATGCAGGAGTTCACAGTGCTTCAGTCAAAAAGCCAGGAATGGGGGGAGTGGAAAATTGCTATGGGACTGCTAAAATTCTTTGTTTCACCAGGAAAAAAAGAATCCAATGAATTATTCACTCTTTTCTAAGTAATTTTAATGTTGTCATTGATTGACTACCAACAAGGTGGGAAGTATTTTCAGAAGTATTTAACAGCAGTTTGTGGAGAAGGGCAGGTTTCTGTGTATGTTCTTTGATTGAAATTCTGGAAATTTCATGAAGTATTTTATTTGCTAACTTGAGCACCACATGCAGAGGTCTAAAATTAGAGATTGTTACTCCCTGCAGATAGAAAAGATGCAGTGGTCTTTGCTTTTGAATGTCATTATTCCTTTATTTCTACTCACTGCTCTGTCAAACTCAGTGATGGTTTTACTCGTGTAACGAATTGGGGCAAGGTCTGAAGGGCTCCAAGTCTTTCCTTGGTTTTTACTCAGTGCCAGTTGTCACCAGCCTGAGAAAGGTGTTGTCTGAGTAGTCACCAGGAAGGTAATTCTTGTGTTTGTAATGCAGCAGCTCCACTGACATCAAGGTTACCCTCCGTAGTTGAGAATTAGTTTGGATTTTGGCTCCACACTTCAGGATTTGGCTCTGAGCAACGTCTGCCATCCGTAGTTCCCCTGTGGAATAATTGTCACTGAGGTCAGAACAGAAGTTGTCATTAATGGAATTTATAAAAAAGGATCTGAGCCTCCTTAGCTCAGGGGAAGGGCTGTTTTACTGGACTGTGGGTCAGAGCAGAGGGGAGTTAAAGCAAGTAGGAGCCAAAAAGCAGAAGTCAACTGAGGGGGCATCAGGTTGTTCATGTCTGCATTGGAAATGAAGAGTCTTGGAGGCTCCACTCAACAAGATTGCACTTAAATGGTCAGTGCTCTGAGAAACCTGCCTTGTCCCCTCCCGTGTTTCCAAGGCAGCTTTTGGTTCCCCTTGTCCAGAATTCCTCCATCGGAATCGCTGCCGTGCCTGCACCGGCTCCCTGCCGGGGGGGATTTGGGACCCCTTGAGTGCAGGAACACTCCCACACTGTTACAGGGTGTGAAATGAAATGTAGACCAGCAAAACGTTCAGATCTCTCTCCAGCACGAGCAGGTACAGCCCCTCTGAGACCATCTGTTTATTGCCACCACTTCTCAGGTCTGAAAACAGCTTCGATCTCACTCCTAATGACTGTGGCTGGAGAGCTCCCTGGAATGTCGGTGCAGGGGAGAGGGAAGGCAGCTGGCAACGTGCATGCTTTTGTTTATTTGTAATACAGCATAAAGCTGCTTTTACATAACATTTGCAGCCAAGGTTACACGTGCCTGCAGCTGGGTGCTGTTAAAAAGTGTGGATGCCCTGGTAGTCCAGGGTTTTGTCACATTTGGTCATCACCACTGCCAGTCCAGTGCCTCAGACACCCAAATGGGCAAGAATTCTAAATTGATTAAAAGCCTAGTTTATTTCTGGGGTTTTTTGAGCTTTCAGGGCTCGATCTATAAATGGTTTAATGAAATATTTCGAATTCACGAATTTAATGTGACATTCAGTGCAAACCTTCAGTTGGCTCGGTGGGCGTCTTGCAGGCACTGCAGGCGTGGAGCAGCAGGTTCCAGAAGAGCCTTCCTGATTTTCTGTTCAACTTCCCAGTTTGTAGCAGATGTCACTCCTTTGGGATCGCATCGGGAAAGTTTTGCAGGGCTGGGCTCAGGCAGAGCCCGTCCATGCTGGGGTCGCTCTGCCCTCTTGTGGGGTTCGACGGCACCGGGACACCTCTGGCACCTGCAGGACGAGAATTCCTGGGATCCCATTATCCATTGCACACTGGCTTTAATCTCTCAGCTCCTTTCGCCTCCGTTTTGCAGGGAATGGAGCAGTGGATTTGTCACTCGGCCATCGGGGTTTAAGTGCAGTTTCTGGATGGAAAGTTGGAAGGCACGTTGTGGCTTTGTCAAGTGAGAGGGAATTCTTCAGGCTTTAATAGTGGAAAAGCAAAAGGGGCTCAGTTCTGTGCATGAAGCTGCAGCTACAAGTCAGTGGAAGGAGAGAGGATTTTTCATCCCTTGATAATTAAAGCAGATGAACAAACTCATGAGAACCCTTTACCCATTTGGGTTCATAACCTAAATGAAAACCTCAAAACCCCTTTCAGTTTTATTTTGCTTGAAGTTCTGAAAAATTCTACCTGCTGACTGTTTACCCACTGTGCAATAGCTGGATTTTCCCAGCGATTCCAGAGGCAGCAATCTTTATTCAGCTCAGACCCACGCAGAAGAACCATTAGGATGTGATTAATGGACTTAAAACTTTGTTTCCTTTAGTTGTGCTTATCGTGCTCCAGTCAGTGCATTACAATGGGGAGGCATTCATGTGGAGAATCACTTAATGAGATGCATGATAAGCAATCATTCTCTGATTTAGAATTTGGATGGAAGTAGTTTAACTGAGCTAGTGAAACGATCATTTGAAATTATTCTAACGTGCCTTTGTATTTCATTCCCTCTCGCTGAAGACATGACAATGGATGAAGTCCGAGAGTTTGAACGAGCCACTCAGGAAGCCACCAACAAGAAGATCGGGATTTTCCCACCGGCAATATCTATCTCTAACATTTCCATGCCTTCCTCAACCCGCAGTGCTCCATCTAGTGCTCCATCAACTCCTCTCTCCACAGATGCTCCTGACTTCCTAACAGTTCCCAAAGACCGGCCTCGGAAAAAGTCTGCTCCAGAAACTCTCACCCTTCCAGATCCATCCAAAAAAACCTTTTAAATTAACCCTGCATGTTTCCTCCTGATAAGCCATGTCTGCCACAGCAAGAGTGACATAACTCAATTGCTACAAAGGTCGTGGTGATTTGTTGGTTGTTTTTTTTTTTTTTTTCTTGCTTAAAATAATCTTCCCGGTGTGGAAAGGTGACTTCTTTCCTCAGACTCGATCCTTAAAACCTTCTGAGAAGTGCATGCAAGAGAACATAGTTTATATATTCCTAAAGTAGTGTTTCAAGCCATATGGTGCATCTTACTGACATCCATGGAAAAGTCTGAGGGGATGCTCTAAATGAAAATCAATCCTCCTGTAGCAGAGTCCTGCCTGCAAACCCTCATCTAGGTCACAGCATTTATAATTAGGAGTAGGTATTTAGTAAAGCTGCCAAGGACTTCTGAGGCAAATTAGTGCCAACTCAAACGCAGGGTTAACAGGAAAAAAAAACCTTCCCATTTTCTTCTTTTATAGCTGATTTTAAAATCCTTCCTACTCTCAGGCTTCTCCTGTGTGTTTATAAACCTTTGACCTGTAACTCATTGTACTGGAACACCAACAGATTCACATTTCTCTCAATATGACTCAGGATTTGGGGCCTAAAACACAAAACACAAATCTTTTCAAACCTAAAGTATCACTGTATCAAAGCCCCAATTGTAATTAATTATACTGACTTTGAGGCCATTGAACTATTTCTATCTTGCACAGAATTTGTAAAAGAAACCACCTATTTCTTGTAGATAATGTATTTTACTAGCTCTGCCCTGTCCCTTTGTGAGCTCAGAGTCCGTGTGGTGTTCATCAATGGTGTTCTGTGCTTGAGGTTGACAAAGAGCAGCTAAAATGTGCCAGTTGAGAAGCCAAACCAATGAATTCTGTCTTTTCCTTGCTGGAAGAAGAGTAGTAGTCAGGCTGTGAAACCTTGGATGTAAAGGAAAGAAAATATGAGGCTCTGTTTTCTTTCCTGCCTCACATCTTTCCTAAACAGCACAATCTCCTGGATCATCTGGGGAAGGGGGGGACAAAATCAGTCACTTTAAGAAGCAAACGAACCATGGGTGACCTTGAGGAATCAGGAGTGTTCCTCTTGGTCTGGCTGTGCAATCATTCTTCAATCTCAGGAATTCAAATGTAGACAAGGATGTTTCCCAGAGGGAAGTGTAGGTTGTGAAAGGAGGAGTAAAAGGAGTGGCAGGAGGGTTCTCTTCCTTCCTTCCAATTCAAAGTGTGAACTCGGTGAGACCCTTTCCCTGCTGACCCTGATTTGGGGCACTTTGCTCTCTCCCACACAAGTTGCTGTTTGGTGGCTGCTGGCAGGACCTGTCTCCTGGTAGCTGTTCAACAAGCTGCTGTTCAATCCCCAGGGAATGACAGCTCCCACCTGGATCATGGCCAGAGCAGGGGATGTTTTGTACCACTGCTGACCTGGGGCATTGAAACAAGAGAGTCCTGCAGAGCTGAGCTGTCACTGAATATTGAACAATCAGTTTGGGGGGGGCCCCTCACCTGGGCAGGAGGTCACAGTGGCTGGAATGCAAGAACTCCTGGATAGATGCAGCTGCAGTCCAAGTTACGTGGAATGTGTGGCATTTAGGGGGTAGTTTTAGTAGCAGGAGAAGTAATTCCATTGCCAACTTGCACTGCAAACAGGTGTATGTTTGTCTGATAGTGACAATCCTGTAGCCAGCAAAATCCAGGAGCTCTCTGTGGGTTTGACTTCCTGTGTTCTCCCAGTCCTGTCCATGCTCGGCTTTGCTTTTCTTCCCAAAGCTGGGAATTCTGAGGGATTGGTACCTGATGGGTGATGGTTGGTTTGTTTAAAAAGCAGCTGCTGTAATGATGCAAACAAAACTTTCCTGCTTTGGTTTATGATTTCACTTTAACAAGGGTGCAGATTATACAATCATGATTATAACTGCTCTAATCCTGTTTTTATCATTATTAATTAATATCACGATTGGAACATTGAAATGAGGAGGAAGGTCTGAGTACTTCAGTGCAACACCTTGAGGCAAAGGGGTTGTTTTCAATACTGACTTTTCTCAGCTTTCTGTTGTATTTTCCAACATGTTTATTAGGATTAAAATAGAGAGAGTTTTGCAGGTGTTCCTCACTTCTTTTGCAAAAGTACAAGCTGTGATTATTTTCTGAGTACATCTTCAGAGCATGGTGCCAGGCACCACAGCCGTGTTCCTGTTCTCTGCCACGGGGACAGGAATTCCAGGATACAGCTCTGCTAGGACTTGGCAAGGAATTTTTTATCAAGGATACAGTTCAGAGGAAAAAATGTGCTTAGTTTGTTCGGGTTTCTATGAAAACCTGCTCCCAGCTCTGCTTGTGCTTTGTGTATTTGGGATAGAACAATCGTGGCAAAACAACTGGCAATTCAGTGCAGCTTCAGAAGGGTTGATCTCCTAATAAATCAAAAAGGGAGGGACCCAGAAAGGCTGTGAGGAGCAGCACGTTCCTGAAACACGTACTTAATGGGACTTCTTATGAATGTAATGGTCAATTTTGTAAATGACTGGATAAATCCTATGGAAAGAAACTATTTGACCTTATTCTTTGGCTTTTTTTGATTATTCTGGAAGGTGATTTTGTGACATCTAGTAGCCAATTTGCATTAATTGCTGCTGTAGAGACTTTGAAACTGAAATATTTGTTCCTTGAATTTCAGTTTGTAACAAGACCGCTGTACTTTGTTAAAACTGCTTTGAAGCTTGCTGCACTATAACTTCAAACTGATGTGTTATCCTTTGAAATAAGCCAAATGTATATGCTTTTTATCAAATAGTGAGTGCAGTAAGAGAGAATTCATGATCTTGTCGATAGGAGATTTTCTGTTGCCATTGTTTGGACTTGGTTTTCTATGTGTAAGTTAAAATTGCTAAATAAGTCTAACAATGTTTTGCTTTAAATGAACAGCATGGTCATTGAATTACGATCTCCTGTAGTTTTGTGGTGTCACTAAAACAGGTTTTCATTGGTTTATTTCATTTCTGTGATAATTTCTGTATGTCCAGTAATCCATTTCTTTAATTTAGAGTGCTGATGGCAACATCAGGCAATGCATCACCACCATCCAAGAAGGACCAAGTCTTGATTTGCTCTGCATGTTAAAGAGTGCAAGGCTCAGCGGGAGAATTTGACTGTCATTTTTCTCATTCATATCACTTAGTTTCTGGTTTTTTCCGAGTTATTTATTATTTTTAATATTGTATTTTCCCTTGCATTTTGTTGTAAATAAACTACCAACAACTATTCTTTACAATGGGGACTGTTTTCTCTTACTGGGTCTCCTCTGGGCAGGAACCTCCTCATTAACATTTACCCATTAACATTTCTACCCCCAGCTCTGCAAGCCACTTCCTCAGAATTAAATAGCACAAAGAATTGGCTTTGAAAGGAAAATTTAAAGCACTTCCAACCTCTCCTTGGTCCTGTTGTACCTCAGCTCTGTAAGGATTTTACCAGGGCAGGTGCCCCACCAGTCTGGCATTGGTCCATTCACTTGTAAATGACCATTGGGTTGACAAGGAAGTTTTTGCAGTGAGGAATCTAATTCCCTATGCAAGATTTTGGCAGCCCAGTGTCGTACCAAACAACTGGAAAATACTGGAAAAGAGACCACTCTCAAACTTATCTCCAAGTCAGTTCATTTTAGTCAAAAACATTTTCTCCGTACAGCGGCTCTTGGAGCATTTCAGGAGAGTCTTTCTCCATAGAAACGCAGCTTTCCCTGCTCCAGAGGAACGGCAGTGCAGGGTCAGGAGGGAAACGCTTCAGAGCAGCTGGGACAGGACAGTGGGAACAAGGAGAGGACTGGACCCCCAGTGATCCCCACTGATCCCCAGTGATCCCCAGTGCCCAGAGCTGACCTGGCGGGCATTGGGTTGATCGGGTGTGTTTTACAGTTTGGGCGGGGCTGCGGTGGAATATGAACACACTCAGAATCCTACACCTGCAAACGCCTCCCAGAGCGGTGACACACCGGACCGCGGCCCCCGCAGCCCTCGGGGCCGGGCTGGGCGGGTGCAGCGGGGACAGTCCCACCTGCATAGGGGACAATCCCACCCGCAGAGGGGACAGTCCCACCCGCATAGGGGACACCGCAGGGGCAGGAGTTCATTGCATTGTCCGGAACCCAGCGATTTTTATTGCGGAGATCAAACCCCAGCGAAGCCTTTTACCTGATGCCATGCTAATTGGCACACACGTGACCTCTCTCATTAACATACAATTAACCCCTCTCATTAACATACAATTAACCCCTCCATTAACGTAGGCATGACACTTCTCATTAACATACAAGGACCCCTCTCATTAACATACATATACAAGAAGCCCATCTCATTAGCATATACGTGACCCTTTATTAGCATACACGTGACCCAATTAGCATATGCATCACTCCTCATTAGCGTACACGTGCCCTCCCTCATTAGCGTACACGTGACAGCGCGGCACGCCGGGACGCTCCCGTGGGAATGGCCGTGGGAATGGCCGATGCCGTGCGGGATGCCCACTGGGGACAAGTGAATAAGGCGCTGAATCCTGACTGATCCCGACTGTTCTGAGAACAGTCATTGATTTTACGGCATTTACAATATTTACACGTTGGGACAGCACCGTGCCCGTACACCCTGTGCCGGAGGCGGCTGCAGAGCCTCCCCGCCGCTCAGGGCAGGGGCAGGCGGGCAGTGCCGGCCGGGCCGGGCCGGGCCACAGCCGCGCTCCGGTCGCGACATTCGCCGTCCCTGTCGCGACGCTCGCGGCCCCTCCCACCGGCCCCGCCCCCGCCGGGTCACGCCCGGACGCGCGCGCCGCGCCGGGTCTCGCGAGAGGCGGGCCCAGCCAAGATGGCGGCGCTGTGCGAGAGCTTCACGCTGCGCGGGCCCGGCCCGGGCGGCGGCCCCGGGATGAGCCTCGAGCCGGGCCCGGGCCCCGACCTCGTGCTGCTCACCGAGCGCGGCCGAGCCGCCACGCTCTTCAAGGTACCGCCCGCGCCTCCTCGGGGGGCGGCCCCGGCCTGCGAGGACCCCGCGCGGGGCACGGGCCGCGCTCCCTCCCTCCCTCATTCCCCCCTTCATTCCCTCCAGGCCTGACGCGCCACCCCCGTCCCTCTGCCCGATTGTTCAGGTTATTTCTCCCTTTGCCGATGTTCTCTCCCCATTCCCCATCGCAATAATCACCTCCCTCCCGGAGCCCGCGGAGCTCCGGGCTCGGCGCTGTGTCAGGTGCGGGGCTGGCGGCTGGAGGAGGAAAGGGTTTAGTTTGCAGCGCTTGGAACTGAAAGTATGTCCTGGTCTATGTTGATTATTTCGGTGACCGTAATAAGAAAACGAGGCAAATATTTGAGTCTCTTTCTGTAAGTGGCTTTCACATCCATGGGTTTGGGGGTTGTAGTGACGGGATAAAGGAGAATGGGTTTAAACTGAGAGGCAGTAGATTTAGATAAGATATTGGGAAGAAAATGTTGACTGTGAGGTTGGTGAGGCCCTGGCACAGGTTGCCCAGAGAAGCTGTGGCTGCCCCATCCCTGGAAGTGTTCAAGACCACATTGGACAGGGCTTGGAGCAACCTGGGCCAGTGGAAGGTGTCCCTGCCCATGGCAGGGGGTGGAATGAGATCAGCTTTAAGATACCTTCCAAACCATTCCATGATCTGAGTGGATTGATGATACAACTCCCTTTGAGTTGTTTATTCCCACTGCCAAGACTAAATGTAAGAACAGAACTATGTTATAAATACACCCTGTGTAGCTCTGGAGCGAGGAGAGGGGGTTGAGTGCCCTCACAACAGTCTGTAAATCACACAGAACAGGAGCTCAGACAGTACCATCCATTGCTCTTGGTCTCACTAACTCACCTTGAAATAGGAAGAGAAAACCCACATGATTGTATTAGTGAGGAAAACCACATTCACTAGTGATTAAAATTAGTACCTGCCCTTTGGAACAGCTCTTCCTCACACCTGTGCTCATGGGATGAACCCTTCAGACTGTTACAGGTCAAAGTTCTTTCTTATGTGAAAAGAAAGAATTCTAATTGATGTAGAGTTCTTTCCTGTTATTCTGCAATCGCTGGTGTTAAAGTCAGAACAGGAATGCTCCAGAGGAATTGGAGTGTAGCAGTTTCCATATTTTGCTATTCTCATTCAGATCAGATGTTGCTGCCTTGCATTTCCTTTCTGGGATGAGAAAAGTCCCCAGAGTCATCTGTTATATGTTATATTTTAGTGACAGTGCCTTTGTTCTGACTCTTCCAGATCTCAGATCAGAAGCCTCTGGGCTGTTGGTCAGTGAAACATGGGCAGGTTCTCACCTGTCCTGTCGTGTGCAACTTTGAGACTCACGAGTACATCGCTGTTCATGACGACAGGGTGAGAGCCTTTATCCTTCTGTGGGGGAAAAGAGGATATGGTGGGTCCTCTGAGGGAGTGTGGGGAGGAAACTGGCAGTTTTTGGTGGAATGTAAAGGTGTGGAGCCCTCACAGCACAGCAGTGACATGAGGGTCATTGTCCTGAGCAGCAATCTGGTGGCCCTCTAAAGCATTCTCAGTGCCTGATGCATTCATTCCCTCAGGAGGAGTTATTTCTCCTCTTGTGTCTCCAGTTACAGCTGCATGACCATTGTACTGAAATGGTTGTAACAGTTCAGACCTCCAGCATTATTTTTCTGCTCTTGTTTCACAGTTAAACATTTCTCTGTGCACACATAGCATTGGCTTAGATCGTGCTGAGCCTTTGGCTTTTCCTTGTTGTTGTTGAGGAAATATCTTTCCTGACCTTTCATTTTACCTGCAACATTCTTTTCTCTGTCTTAATCTGTCTCCAGATTTAGAGTTTAGAGTTCTGCTTTATCTTTTTCCTTATTCTTTCCCATCTTTTCTTTCCAGTTCAGGATTTCTGAGCTTGGTTTCTATTCCAGTTGTCTCTGCTTCAGCTTCTTCTCACACAAACCACCCCCCTGGGGCAGTTCCCACTCAGATCCCCGTGACTACTTCCTGTGTATTTTCCTCCTGGTGCAATTTGCTGATATTTTGGGTGCTGAGAAGTCTGTTTGCTACTGTTTTATTGGGCTTAAAAATGATGCTTTTCTTAAAGGTTTTAAGAATATGGAAGAATGAAGATATTAACTTGGACAAGGCCTTTAAAGCAACAGTAAGTCTCTTCCTTGTGTTTGCTCTTATGGGAATGTTTTGGAGGGAAGAGATGCTCTAATTTTCATAGTATTGATCATATTTAGCTGACCAATGTTTTAATTTGTGCTCCAGGATGTTGTGGAGTATTGCAGGAATCCCCTTGGACTGACTTTATCATCAAAATATTGCTCTTAAAACGATTCGTATTCCAAGGCCAAAGTTTCTGAGGACTTTCTTTAAAGATGGTGAATTGTATTCAAATGTAGATCTTTGTCTTCTGCTGATTGATGTGTTAAACAGCACTTTGTGTGAACTCCTGACCCTCAGTTATGGTTTTTCTGATGTGATTCAGGGATGTGATGCTCATCCTGGCTTTTTGCTGGGCAGTGACTTGCATTACTTATAGTAGATCTACATTGTTAGGAATCTTAAAGTTTCATCATTCCTCTGTTAAAAGTTTATTGGAAGAACTTTAAAAAAAAAAAAAACGAATAAAGCATTTGCCTTTCAAGGTGATGGACTGAAGACCCCTGATTTATTTTGGTTCTCTGCAGCTCTCAGCAGATGTGCACAGGATACATTCCCTGCCCCAGGGAGGGCCCGTGGTGCTGTTCAAGGGAGGGGGTGTCCGAACTCTGGACGTGCTTTTGGAAGCCCCACAACAAGAGATTGAAAACATTATCTCAGATGAAGCCATCAGGTGAGTGATGAATTTTATGGCAATTCTCACTTGGAGGAACTTGCCCACGAGGATGGAAGTTGTTCCCTTTTGGAGGGGATGGGGAGAAATCAAGGACCAAGATCTCGGGGCACATCGGTTTTCAAATCTTAGAATCATGTATATAAGTATCCTAAAAATAAGAAGCTGCCTAAAGAATAGTGCTCTGACTTTAGGTATAAACCTAGAATTTGGAACATGCTCATGCAGTTTTCTGGTTTTAGGTGGAGTGGAGCTTTTATGGAAAGTCAACAACCTGTCGTAGTTTTCGCTACTGAGAAAGTGAGTCAAATACTTTTCCCTTTTAAAAACTTCCATAGCAGCAGATCTTAGTGCTTTCTACAAAATCCATCACTTGTTTCATTTGATTTTAAGAACTTTTAGTGAAATCATTATCCTGATTTAATCAA